CTGTCACCAGGTGGTTAGATCTGTTACTAGGTATGTGAGCCCAGGAGTCCACCCACTTCTCTTGTATGGACTCAGCTCAGGTGCCCAGGAAGATAGGCACCAAGTGTGTGCTGCAGGCTGTCACCTACAGTCCTAGACAGGCATGGGTGATTGAAGTAGGCACGGGCATCTGGTTGCAGCAGGGGGACACACCGTGAGCAAGGCAGGGGGCTGACGATCGCCTGATTGTCCAAGAGGAAGTCCTGTCCCTGTTCCCTAAAGCATGTAAGTGGGTGGGTTTTGTAGCCGGACTATAAGCACCCAATGCTGTCGGCTGTAAGGACTGGGGGGCACCTGTTATTCTTGGGCCTCCATCGCAGGTCGCTAGGTGCCGTGGGTGGAGCCACCAGTCCTCAGGCCCTTGATGTGGGTAGGTGAAGACCCTGCTTAATGGGCAGAGCAGTGCCAAATGTCACAAACCTGCCACTTCACAGATGAAACAGTTCAAGTTGGACTTCAGGTATATACCCTGTTGTACTATGGTAATGAGGGCCTATGCTGTTGAAATGGGCCCACACAAGTCTCTGCAGGGGGAAAGGCACACAAAGTCTGTGGATCCCTTATGCCGGTGCCTAGGCCAAGGAGCTGTACCTACCCTGGGTTCCTGGGAGTTGGCAGTTTATTTTTCCCGTTTGTTAATTTGTTCACTCTCCAAGGCCAGGAGAATGGGTCAGGGCGTGTGACAGATCCTATTTCCGGTCCAGGGGACTTGGCAATTGCTGAAGCTGGTCCGGGACCCAGTGCAGAGCGGAGAGGGGGCAGGTAAATGGGAGAGAAGTTTTTCCCAAGGGGGGTGTTTTTTGATCTGTCCGGTAGGTCAGACACACATACTTATGTTTTGCTAACTGAACACCGCTTTTCACTGGTTCTGGACAGCTGAGTATACTCTCTGGTGCTGGGTCTCTCCCGCTGCGGAAAACGCGCCTCCTGAACACAGCTGCTTGCCTGCCTCACCGCTCACCCATAAGCTGATCAGGCCTGAAGGGCTCAGGCTCTCGCCAGGTCAGGTCTAGCAACTCCTTCGCTGCTTCCAAACCATCTCTCCCTCCCCCTGCCACTCAGTCCAGTTCCTCAGCTTTGCCTTATATGTTCAGGGCTCTTAGATTGTCATATATAATTGAGTCACTTGTTTTTTCAGGTCTTTGTTGCAAGAGGGTTCACCGGAAGCGTCTGACTACTCCACCATCTTGGCCCTGCCTCCAACAGTGTGTATTATAATTAGCCATTTTGTGTGGGAAAAATACTTAAATTTATATATATATTTGTAAATTGAGAATATCTGACGGTAACTGTGCTTGAACTGGGAGAAGAAGGAAGACTTATTTTTCACCAAACCCTTTGGCATCGTTTGAATTCTAACTAGTTTTCATTATTATCTAGTAACAACGAAATACAAAATATTACTAATTACCTCGTATTTTGAGGAGACTGGATACTAGAAAGTAGTAACTGTGAGGATCTTTTGGAATTTTCTTTTTAATTAAAAAGGAGTTCTCTCACAGGATGAACACCATGGGTTAAGTTTTGAGTTTTCAAACCCACCCTGAGGGCAAAGAGGCCTCAGCAGAGGATCTGACACTTATGGGTGGATGATTCCAGCTTCTCAACTGCCACTGCAGCAATCTACAGCTTTCTAAAGGCATCTAGCACTTTCTACCTTGCATTATTATCTCTTCATCTTCCCAAGGCCTAAAACACCCTATGATTCTGGGGGAGGGTCCTTCTCAGGTTCATTTTTTAGATCCCCACGGCACCACCAAGCACACAGTAAATACAAGCAGTCCCCATCTTACGATGTGTTTGAGTTACGATGAACCACACTTATGACTTTTTTTTTTTTGTACATCTTATTGTTAGTAATATGTACTACATACGGTATTGTAGCGCATAATTTGCTAATGTTAACATTCTCGGATATTCACTAGCAGATGTTCAATTTTATCACTGACTGCTCAAAACACTGCTGTATAGATTTAATTTTCTAAACAAAATCAGGGGCTTCAGTTGCTTGAAAACATGGACCCAAATGCCGATTGCTTTGCTAACAGGCAGATTCGGGAAGCAGTGAGATATTTCCACAACAAAGTACATTAAAAAAAAAAAAAGAAAGAAAAGAAAAGGACCCCCGAGACAATAGCCCTGAGACACCCTTCTGACCTGGAACTGAAGCCACTCCCGGAGACCACCTTCACGCCAAACAACATACAAGACCGTAAGATAAACAGTAACACCCAGAGGAACGTGCTCCTTAGAACAATCAATTATACAACACCAAAAGAACAGTATTTGCCCAAAAACAAAGATGAGAAGGCAGAAAAGGATAGAAAATCAGGACGAAAGGAAATGGGAACCCAGGGTGGAAATGGGGAGAGTGCTGACACATTGTGGGGAACCAAACCAAGGCCATGAAACAATTTATGTACAAACTATGGAATGCAAATCTAACTTGCTCTTTCACCTACTGCACAATTTACAAAAAAAAAAAAGGAAGAAAAAGATCATAGGATCATACAGATAATTCTCACTACGTATTTTTTTTTTTTTAGAAACGCTATCCCCATTGCTAGGGATACTCAGATGCTCCAGAACCTTCCACAAGTGGAGTTATTACCAAAACTGACAAAACAGCAATGTCGTCCAACTCTTCTTCATTGTCGGAGTAAGTTTTTATGATTTGTGTATTTTTTATACGTATTAAAACATATCTATAAATTTATATGTTTCCAACCCCCAAAGACAAATAAAGACCGGATTTATAAATAAACTATAATAAAAGACAGTAACAATGAAAACTAAATACATACATATACATACGGTATTGACTTACATCAAAACCGACTTACGACGGAGTGGTCGGAAACGAACTTAAGTCAGGGTCTAACTGTACTGTTTAAGTCTGGTGAGAGAGATAAAAGAAGGAGGGGAAGGAAACCGAAGGCAAAACGCTGGAAGGGAAGAGGAAGCCCACCCGATGCCCTGCGGCCAGAGTCCTCCAGGAACGGGATGCACGCTCCCCGTTACACACAGACGAGTGCGGCGCGGCCGAGAATCCCTGCCGCAAAGAAGGCGGTCCGCACACCCGCCCGCCTCGTCCTCAGGTCCGGGTCATCCAAGTTGGGCCCACGCCAGCGCTACAGCGGAACTCTGCTGGCCCAGGGATGCCGGGCCCATGCTCAGCCCGGACGCGGTGGCGCAGCGGACCGGGATGTGGCAGGTGTTGGGGGTGATGGGGGGGGCGGAACCAGAGGCCGGCGGCCAATGAGCGGGCCCCGCCAAGAGGAGGCCCAATGGTAGCGGCGCGCAGGCACGCTGGGGGCGGGCGGTGCGCGCCCGACTTTTCCAGAAGGGTGCGGAGCTTGCTTTCCGGCCACGCTTAGCCGGCCTTGGGGATTCCTCGGGTTGGGTCTCATCTTCTTCATCTGCTGGGCCCGCCATGGCGGCCGTAAAGACCCTGAACCCCAAGGCCGAGGTGGCACGAGCCCAGGCGGCGCTGGCGGTCAATATCAGCGCGGCCCGTGGGCTGCAGGACGTGCTGAGGACCAACCTGGGGCCCAAGGGCACCATGAAGATGTGAGCTGGGGATGGCGGGAGGGTGGGCTTGGGGTTGCGCGCCTCGCACCGCAGCGGGACTGTGGGAGGAGGGCTCGAATCTGCCTCTCCGAGCTTCCGCGTGGCCCTCCTCCCAGCCCTGAACTGCTTCGAGCCCCCCTGCCTGGCCCTTTCCTCTTGTAGTCGGTGCCGTTGCCGCGGAGAACAAAGCTGCCCGCGTGCGCACACCTCGGGCCTCCAGCTATAGTGACGACTCGGCACACTTTCTCAGAGGGCGGGGGTGGGCACTGCACCATTCTAGTTGACCATGATGATCGATCCAGCCCCATGGCCCCGTCTTCCTGGAATCTAGGAAAAACCCAGTTTTTATGGGACGTTTACTTTGGTCTCCGTTGGAGGGAAAATCACACTGATTTCATTTCTTTCCATTGAACAGGCTTGTTTCTGGTGCTGGAGACATCAAGCTTACTAAAGATGGTAACGTGCTGCTTCATGAAATGGTGAGAGAGCGCTACGTCCAAAGTGGCTTGATTTTCTATAGTGCTTTTGAGTTGTAGGAAAATTTTTAATGTCCATTCTTAAGGTAGGAGAAAATTAATATCTGTTGTTAGGTCGTGAGTATCTCAAACAATGGAGGGAGCAGCAAAGGAGTGTAATCAATAACAACACTAACAGGACAATACAGTGCTTTGGATGAGCTGTGGAGCCCGACAGGCCTAAATTTGAATCCTTGCTCTTTTATCACTTGTGATCTCGGTTAAGAGATTGTAATTGTTAATTATAATAAAACCTGAAAAACTAAGAGTTGGTTGATGCAATCTGGTGGGGAAATGACCTGGAATATGAGATTTTTGAAATGAGTATTTAATCATTCCTGAGTTCCAAAATCTAACAGTTCAAATTCAGAAAGGAAATGACTTGCCTGTGATTTGTGTTAAGAATAAAATTTAGGTTGTTGATAGTAAACCATGCCATCAACATCCACGTGTTTATAAATATCTAAATTAAGGGCTAGCCGACCTAGAAGGTGCACTTTGTATAATTATTTTTTATCATACTTTAGATGAAGGTTTACAGAGCAAATTAGTTTCTCGTTAAACAATTGATACATGTATTGTTGTGACATTTTGTAGCCAACCCCATGACATGTCAACACTCTCCTCTCCTCGACCTTGGGTTCCCCGTTACAAGTTTTCCTGTCCCCTCACGTCTTCTCATCCTTGCCCCTGGGCTGGTATGCCCATTTAGTCTCATTTTGTTGTATGGGCCTGTCTAATCTTTGGCTAAAGGGTGAACCTCAGGAGTGACTTCAGTACTGAGCTAAAAGTGTGTCCGGGCGTTTCTTCAGTCTCCGTCAGACCAATAAATCTTGTCTTTTTTTGTGAGTTAGAAGCAGTTTATTTTTAATGGGCTAAACGGTGGCCTGTGCTGGCAGGAACCAGTTGGAGCCATAGTTTAAACATGAGGTCAGTCAGAAAAGTCCTACCTACATAGCAAGTATTATTACAGAGAACTTTTATAAAATTTGCAATTCTTTGATCAGAGGCTTATTTTTTTTTTATCGTCAAATACAATAAATACAGAGAAGCTTATAAAAACATTTACAGTTTAACGTATAATTTTAAAATGAACACGTAGTCACCACCTTAGCTAAGAAAACATTACCACCATCTCAGAAGCCCCTCCTTGTATCTCTCTTCATTCTCAAGAAATTACCAACCTACCAAAAAGTTGAAAAAATGTTACATTGAATACCCATGTGCCCTTTACTTAGATTTACTAAATACTATTACCATACCTAAGAAATTTAACATACAGTATTAGCTAATACACAGTGTTTGTTTTCACTGTTGTCCCTTTAAATGTCTTTTGTAGCTCTTTGTGATTGTTGTTTTCCCAGATTATACACAGAAAGGTCTGTTTATAATCTGACATGTGCCTCCTGTGCCTTACACAGTGAGAAGTATACAATGACACCTATGTAGTATTTTTGGCAAAAATATTTCACGTCAGCAAATTTAGATAATGAGATTGACTGGCTTAAATTCTTAGAAAATGTGTCTCCAAAGACATAACAGCCTGGGGAACTGTTCTAGATTAAAGGAGAAGGTGGTAATGAAAACCAGATGCTCCGCAGGAGCCTTGATTGAGTCCTTCGTAATTAAGACTTCGTGGGGTGATGTTGGCGACGTGGTGAATATCCTGTTCTTCCAAAACCTTTCCACACAGTGCTTTTGCATCTATTGATGGTGTTTGCTAAAAGGGCCTTTTAAGTTATTTGGTCAAGGTCTCATAATACCGGAGGCTGCTGATCTGTCATTTCAGAAGGCACTTAGCTTATTCTTGAAAGAGCCTGAGACTTGGGCCTGGATTTGAAATTGTTATTTATTACTGTTTTTTGTTAGCTGTGTCATTTACCCTGAAGAGTACATCTTCACTGACCCTCTTGTTTTCTCGTCTGTAAAGTGAAGATAATCTGAGATGTAAACAGATTTATACATAAAAATGTTTTGATCATAATTGTTAAGCAGTAATATTTAATGATAACTTTTTAATCAAATATGTGGTCAAACACTGACAATTTGTTCAGGTAAATAGCACTTTTTGTTTGAGGTGTATTTTGATTGCTTTATTTTAAGTCATTTAAGTGTTTTTTTTTTCTTTTTCTACTTTCAGCAAATTCAACACCCAACAGCCTCCTTAATAGCAAAAGTAGCAACAGCTCAGGATGACATAACTGGTGATGGTACTACTTCCAACGTCCTGATCATCGGAGAGTTGCTGAAACAGGCGGACCTCTACATTTCTGAAGTACACGTGGCTCTTATGTTTTGGGCTTTTCACGTGTATAGGAAATACCTGAGTTTTATTTATAGCAGTTGATGTGTTAATAGTAGCTGTGGCCGTGTATAGAATGTAAAGAGCAGGGGTCTTAAATCTGGGAACTTGGGTCTTCATCCTGCTCTGACATAAATTTGTGACCCTGGAAAAGTTATGAGACCTTCCTGGGCATGAAAAAACATTTTTTTTTGAAGTTGGATTGCATGCATAATTTATATCCATCTTTATAATATAGACATTAATAATTGGTATGTAGAAATGGAATATTCAAGGTTAAGTATAAGGAAAAAGGCTAATCAAATTTTAAACTTAAATCCGAATCCCGCAGCTTTTTTAACCCTTAATAATTTCAGGAATAAAACAAATCTCAGTGAGTACTAATCCAGTGTCAGAGAGTTTCCTGGGAAGAGAAGGAAACCAGACTCTTAGCTTCCTTTTTTATTTTTATTAGTAAATTATGAGTTAATTTCAGATTACCTATAGAAAAGATACACGGTTCCCATCTTTTGACTGCAAGTTGTTAGTACACGGTTTTGGGTTTGGATTTTATCCCTGGTGGTTTGCACAGTGAACACCCAAGTGTGCTTTCTAGTTCCCTTGGCTTTGACTCTGTGCTAGAGCAATGTCTGTTCTTTACCTCTGCATTGAAAGGAGTATTTGTCCTTTTAAATGTATTCAAAAGGTCAGCACATTTTAATTGTACTAAAGGATGTGACTGATCCAGAATGTCTCTTCAAAAATTATTTGAACTTTATCATGAACTGTAGTTGGCGTCTAACTGAATAACACCACTGTTAGGGAGTGGTTTTGTAATTGTCTGTCTGTTACAGGGTCTGCATCCCAGAATAATAACTGAAGGATTTGAAGCTGCAAAGGAAAAGGCACTTCAAATTTTGGAACAAATCAAAGTAAGCAAAGAGATGGACAGACAAACACTTATAGATGTGGCCAGAACATCTCTGCATACTAAAGTTCATGCTGAACTTGCTGACGTCTTAACAGAGGTATGTGTTAAATTTAGAATACAGTTGTATTGAAAACCCCTGTTAACAGAAACATCAGTGCACTTAGCAATTCATCTGCAGGGTGCTATCTGAAGTCTTCATAGCATCATAGGTGTGAAATAAATAGGTTCAGTTTTTTTGGTTTGGAGATCCTTGTATAAAAATAAAGATTTTTGTGGCAGTGATACCTGATCTATGTCTCTGAAAAATGAAGTGAGAAAAATCAAATAATAGTATGCCTGACCAGGTTATAAAAGTAATTGGAGCATTCATTAAAAAGTATAAAATGGAGATTGTATTATTAAAGTATTTTCTGTTACTAATATTTTTAATAAACTAGCAGGAGGGATGTGAGCGATTTTTTAGGTAATTACAAGTTACAGGATTTCAGAAATGTAAATGATTTCAGCCGTTTATAGATAACATTGTTAGCACGTAGACAAAGGCTTGTATCAATTTAAAGATGTTAAAGTCAAATTGTCTACTTTAAACTTCTGAATCAAATTTATTTGATGGTGATAATTCTATTGTAGGCTGTAGTTGACTCCATTTTGGCCATTAAAAAACAAGATGAACCTATTGACCTTTTCATGGTTGAAATCATGGAGATGAAACATAAATCTGAAACTGATACAAGGTAGGTGGTAGAATGCTATGAAGTACCAATAAGGTGTTTAGAAATTTGCACATATTTCATATAATACGTATTTTTTCGCTGATTTATTTATCTTCAGATTGTATATTGCCTAGGTGAATACTATATTTTAGTAAGATTTCCTCTTGAAATGAGGTTAATGATAGGCCGTGTTTATGGTTGGAATGATCATTCTGGAATGATCATTCAGTCATTGGGCATTCATTCAACTGCTTGGGTACAAAGTATAATGGGAGACAGTTAGCAATTAAAACTGAAAATTTTTTTTGAAAGGCTTAGTTTGAACACAGTTTTTGAAAAGGCATACAAGTTGATAGCATACCAGTGATATATGTGATAGCATACCAGTTGAGACAGTTTTTCTGTACAGGAGAAGGTGGTTACTTTTATTTGCTTGGCTTGCTTGGTTTTTTGGTCATGTTCTGGAGTATTGGTTTTTCACATTGTGAACATTTGCAGATTTCTCTGTTGAACTTGCCCAAGTTTTGTTCAGGTAATTGAAGAAATGAAACTGATTATATAAAAATTAGTATAATATAGTCTTAGTTCAGTGTACTGTTCTCGTTTATGTTACACCCCATTTGGAAATCAATAACAATGCAGTTTTTTAAACGTGTTTTTAACAGCTTAATTAGAGGGCTTGTTTTGGACCATGGGGCACGGCATCCTGATATGAAGAAAAGAGTAGAAGACGCATACATCCTCACATGCAATGTGTCATTAGAATATGAAAAAACGTGAGTGTATAACCTCTTAAAAATGGACCAGGGAGGTGAAGGAGCTTGGTATGGTGTCCAAGACACTTCTCTGAGAGTTAGTTTTCCCCAGCATCAGCACAGTAATGCCTCACTTGGGTTTGAGAGGATAGTAGGAAATAACCCCTGGCAATGTGCCGGGGCAGGACTGGAACTCAGTGACTGTTCGCGAACTCTTGAGACGAGCCTACTTTCTGAGGCTGCTGACTTACAGTCTACTCAAAAAAATTGTTAATACGTTTCCCCCATTCTTTCACTTCAATTTTTAAAACGTCTTATTATAATTATATATATATAACAAAAACTGCCATTTTAACCATTTTTAATGGTATAGTTCAGTGACATTAATTATGCTCACCATGTCATGCAACCATCACCACTATCCATTTCCAAAACTTTTTCATCACCCCAAACGAAACTCGGTGCCCCTTGAGCGCTGACCTCCCCCCCAGTAACCACTTACCTCCTTTTATCTCTATTTTTGCCTGTTTTATCTATTCTATGTAAGTGGGATCATGTAGTATTTGTTCGTTTGAGTCTGACTGACTTCAGTGGGCATGATGTTTTCAAGGTTCATCCGTGTATCAGATCTTCATTTCTGTTTATGGTGTTTTTTGTTTTTTTTTTAAATAGAGAAGTGAACTCTGGCTTCTTTTACAAGAGTGCAGAAGAGAGAGAGAAACTTGTAAAAGCTGAAAGAAAATTCATTGAAGATAGAGTTAACAAAATAATAGAACTGAAAAAGAAAGTCTGTGGTGATTCAAATAAAGGATTTGTCGTTATTAATCAAAAGGTGAGTGAAAATGAAAATTGGTTTCATAAACTAAATAGATTGTAGCATCCTTTTTTTTTTTTTATATTAAGGTTAAAGGTATTGAAACTAATTTTGTTTTTGTTACAGGGAATTGACCCTTTCTCCTTAGATGCCCTTGCAAAAGAAGGCATAGTAGCTCTGCGCAGAGCTAAACGAAGAAATATGGAGAGGTACGCTTAGCAGATTATCTGAGGAATAAGAATGTTACTTATTTTGTCAGTTAACTGATATTATTCCTTTTTTCCTTTCTACTTGTTTTATTTTTAAATCATGACACAATCTGTACATATTTATCTTGGGAGACTAACCTCAAGGAGTTTCAAAGAAATACTTTATCCCAAAGAGCTCACCACTATGAAGAGTTGTAGTCCACCTTCATGATGACATTAGTTCTTTTAGACTTGCTGGAGGGTAGCAGGAACACCTCCATTCAGGGCTGGACCCAGGGTGACTTTTAAAGAGATCATACTTGCTTTCCTCAAAAAATAAAAATGCGTGAAACTAAGCATCCTTGTATGCAACGCCCTTTGGGTTTCACATCAGAGGAGTATTTGCTGACTTGGGGAGGGTGGTTTAAATGCAGAGGTTACAAGAACAGGCCAGGTTTCAGCTGGTTGAGAGGGAGTGGTTCCTTGCATTGGAGTGGTGAGTGTGGAACTTTTTAGAATAGAATTTTAGTATGTAATTCCAAAAGGTTGCTTTCTAAAAAATGTTCTTTTTGAATGTAGCTGATGATACTGCTTATGTGTCTCCCTTAAAACCTTAAAATTTCAGGCTAACACTTGCCTGTGGCGGGGTGGCTCTAAACTCTTTAGATGACCTAAATCCTGACTGTTTGGGATATGCAGGACTCGTCTATGAGTACACGCTGGTAAGTGTGTTTTCTTCCTGAAGATTCATGAATTTCTTTGTGGTAAAATTCAAGCTCGGGATTGGATCTTTGCTTTATGTTTATGTGTAGTAATGATAAGCCGTTGGCAGGAAAATCACATTTCTTTTATATGTGACTTTTTAAGAGATTTGGTTTAATGTGATCAGTGTTATTCCATTAATACTCTGCTTAACCATTTTCTCCATAAGCTCCCACCCTGTTCATTTTTCGCAACTAAATCCTGTTTTGGAAATAACATCTCTACTACACACAGGGAGAAGAGAAGTTCACCTTCATTGAGAAATGCAATAACCCTCGGTCTGTCACACTGTTGATCAAAGGACCAAATAAGCACACACTCACTCAAATCAAAGATGCGATAAGAGATGGCTTGAGGGCTGTCAAAAATGCTATTGATGATGGTAAGATTCTCACTGTGTTCTGATTTTAAAGGCTCTTAAATGTAATGCATGGAAAAATCCAGCACCCTTTGAAAATTGTATCTTTTCTGCTATCTAAAGGCATGGCTGAATACTGTGTTCATTTTATCAATAATTTACACAGCCAGACACCATGCAAAAGAATTGTCTTCCCTTTAAAATGTTTGACGTATGCTGAATTTTTTTCATGGCATATCATTATTAAAGGTGAATACAAATAAGTATAATAGCAATAGATTTTAAGAGCTGCTCGGTGTTAATTAAATTTAACCTATTTGATATGCTGGTTGCTTATATTATGGCTTCCAAATGTAGTGTTTAAATTGCTGTGGTCATCATGAACACTCAATAAGTTAATGATTTTCAAGTGTGTGTTTTAATTTATACATACCCTTTATTTTTTTCCTTATAATTGATTCTACAGTTTTATTTTCTTCGTAGCTTAACATTTTTCTTCTCCCTGTCAACAGGCTGTGTGGTTCCAGGTGCTGGTGCAGTGGAAGTGGCAATAGCAGCAGCTCTGATGAAATACAAGCCCAGTGTCAAGGGCAGGGCCCAGCTTGGAGTCCAAGCATTCGCTGATGCGTTACTCATTATTCCCAAGGTGTGAATATTTAACAGTCAATTTTCTAAACTATAGTATGGTGTGGATTTTGGATAAGTATTGTTGGTTTTCTCCCTGACAATAGAACAGAAATCCCTAACCATCCAAATGTATTTGGTTCTTCTGGAAGGGCAACTTTGATATGTGAAGGAAGTTTTCAAGTGGCAAGAGATAACTATTCTAAGAGGGCTTGCAGGATATGGGGTTGTACTCATATACAAGCTTGTTTTTTGTTTTTATTTGTTTTAGTTATACTACAATGGGTATCATTTTCATTGTATGCTTCTTTGGGGGTATAGCTTATGACGTGTATTGCTACATTTAGAGTGGGTTAGGGAGTTGGTCAGTATTATGTAAGTCTTGTTATTCTCTGAAGTGAACATAAATAGTACTGTTTTCACTCCATTAATTGGAAGCGTTGTTGATTTATTTGTAGACTTGGTCCTGTCTGCAATTCTTAGGTCATGTCTTTTGAAGAATTAAATTTGTTTACTTTAGGTTCTTGCTCAGAACTCTGGTTTTGACCTTCAGGAAACACTAGTAAAAGTTCAAGCTGAACATTCAGAATCTGGTGAACTTGTGGGTGTAGACTTGAACACAGGTAAGATAATCCAATATTTGTAAGGGAAGAACTAGATAATACAGGTGAGGTATACCCAGGAACAATCAAGAATGGGGACATAAGAATCTTAGAGAGTGGCTTTGCAGTTTGACACCAGTACTATCAGGGAACTCTGGGTTCTAAATTGGAATAAAATACGATATATAGAAATGGGATGACTAGATGTTATAATTGAGAGTAGACATTTGAGTAATTTCAAAGAATACAAATTTGTTGGGGGTATTGCTGGGTGGTGGTAGGTGGTTTAGGGTGGTACTTACTGAAGGGTTTTCACATCAGGCTTGCCTTTTTTTTTCCCCCTCCTTATTCCATTTTTTAATCAGGGACTTTGATGATAAAGTACATTAGGTGATCATGGGTGGAAAAGTCTGAGAATAGCAAATAACGTTAATGTAAAGGATGAGATCAAATCTGATGAAATGTAGCCAGATCAGATCTAAAGCCCTAGTCTTTGGCTCACGTAACAAAAATGATACAAATGTACGAAGTGGAGGCAACGTAACTGAGGACGATCAAACCTTTGGCAGCCTAGAGAGCTTCTTTATCACGTGAAGTTTTCCAGGTAGCGGTCAGCCAGTCATCAAAGATATTATGGACAGGAGTCATGGTTTGGAGTAGATAATGGGACTGGTAGGAATTACGGGATTCACAGTTAATAATAGAGTAGATGAGTAATTGGTAGTGAGCAAAACATTATGATCTTCACATGCTGTATGTGGTTTTAAGAAGACTGGATTACTTTTCAGGTGAGCCAATGGTAGCAGCAGAAGCAGGCATATGGGATAACTATTGTGTAAAGAAACAGCTTCTTCATTCCTGGTAAGTATGGGAAGGCCAAAACTATAATAACTTTTAGGTTATGTCCTGTTTTAATCGTCCCCTCCCCCCTTATAAAAATGTAAAAGTATAAAAATTAAACTAGCCCTCTGTATGGAGGGGGAAAGGGAAGTTAAATTGGATGTAATGGCATGCAGTTTAGTTGGAAATGGGAAGTTGAGTTGAATTGGAGTTTGTATCTCAAATCTGAACCATCTGATTTTCCCATCTTTTCAGCACTGTGATTGCTACCAACATTCTCCTTGTTGATGAGATCATGCGAGCTGGAATGTCTTCTCTAAAAGGTTGAATTGAAGCTTCCGTTTTATCATCTGAATCATGAAGACTCTACAGAGTGATCCTAAGGATATGGCTATGGGATTTTTGCCCAAGCTTCAAATAATTCTCAAAGGAATTTTCTTTTCCCATATTAAAACAGGAGATCATTGTCACCTATTCAAATTCCAAGTTCTGAAATTATAATTACAGTATTTTTTAAATGCACTGAAGTGTGTACACAGAAAGCAAGTCCTTTTTACCCAGTGAATGGGTGGTTTTGCTTTAGTTGCAGTGGCATAAAATTACATGTTAGATAAGGGTATGTTACCTACTTTGTTAATAAATACTCCTTCAAAAACAAATTTTAACAGCTTAATAATTTATTAACCAAAAAAACCTGTTACCATCTGTCAAGATGATTCTGACTCAGCAACCCTGTAGGACTGAGTAGAACTGCCTCATAGGTTTCCAAGCCTGTGAATCTTAAACGGAAGCAGACTGCCACATTCTTTCTCAGAGCAGCTGTTGGTAGACTTAAACGTTAATTTATCCAACAGCTCTGTACTGAGCACTTGAAGTTTTAAATGTAAACACCTAAGTAACAAGTTTTTGAAAGCATCTATTTCCTTAGTGTAAATTCCTATGAGTACAATATTGGCTCCATTGGACTTTTCATGCCTTTGAAATAGCTTTGTTAAAATGCCCCCCCACCCCCACCCCAGAAAGTTATGTTTATACTCTAGTAGGTGGAAAGATGGGTGAACTGGAAGCCTGGGCGGGAAAGCTACAAGTATAAAAGGGAAAAATCGAGATCAAGGCAACAGAGGTAAAAAGCTGGCTCAAGGCATGGTGACCAGGGAAGCTAGGGTTAGTGGAGATTAAGGTTGACCATATTTTCACGCCTCTACCTTTGCTTACGCTGAAATGTACATTCCAAAGCTTCAGTATCGACTTTTTCTCACCCAAATAACTTGTATCTCCTGTTTCCACGAAATTGTTCTTACGTAGTTGCTGTGTTTCTGCATTTCTTGAAGGTGTACGCGTGTGTTAACATAGCTCTGTATTTTAAGGGCTTAGCAGTTGCTGCCTGTGCAATAAACATTAAGTAGAAACCTTTCCTGTGGTCTTGCAGTGGTATGATGCCGACTAACGAGAAACGCCAGTCAGAATATAAAAGGGAGTGAATGGTGCACGTGTTCACAGGCAGTGAAGGGGCTTCTAGAATAGCAGAAGTCCTCATAACACCAACTTTTTCAGTTAACCTGGGCCCGTGAGCCCCTCCGGTGAACGAGCTCTGACCGGCAGGTAATGCTACCGGGCGCATTGCGCACGCGTGTGCGGGGCCGGCCGCGGCGCGGTGCGTGCGGGGCGGGGCCACGCACCAACCGTCGCGCTGTGTGACTGCCGGTTGTACTTCCGGGGTCGCTTGCCAGCATGGCCTCCTCGCTCCCTCTGCTGTCGCTGCTGCTGGTGCTGTTCGTCTCGTGGGTCGAGCCAGGTCAGTGCACTGACCTGGCAGCCTTCCGCTGGCCCGCTTGTTGCAGAGGCACCAGGGAGGGCGTGGGGCGCTCCGCCCTAGAGGGCAAAGAGGTCGCGGCCCCTTGCCCGGGCTTGGAGTGGCCGGAGGGCCTCTAAGCGGCGGCCAGCTTGGGGAGGTGGTTAACAACCATCGCAGTACCGCACTTTTCTTTTTTAAACTTTTTGTTTTGGAGTCTTTTGAAGAGTAAAAAAGTAGAAGAGAAGAGTTTAACGATTTTCCCTCCATCTTCCCTCTCGCACCCTCGTACCCATCGCCCGCTCGGCACAATTACTGATGTATAACCAGTGTTGTGTTTCGGCACTTCTCCCTCTTCCCTCCTCCCCCGGGAGCATTTTGAAGGGAATCCAAGCATTATGTCATTTTACTCGTGAACATTCTGCTTGAATAGCTACAAGACAAAGTCTTGAAAAACAATTACTATTTTCTCACCTAAAATATTAACAGTAGTCCTTAATATTAAACATCCAGTCAGTGTTCAGATTTCCTCCATTATCTCATACATGTTTTAAAATGTTAGTTATTGAATTAGGATCAAAATAAAGTTCGTACATTGTATTGGTTATGCTTTTTATTTTCATCTTTTGAGATTTTCCCTGGCTCTCTTGTTTTTTCCTTGCAATGTATTTATTGAAGAAACAAGGTTGAGTGTGTCAGAATGAGAGAAGAGGGCCAAAGATACCCTGAGGAACATCAAAGACCTAGACTGCCTTTGAGGAACTTATAGAACTTAAACATCCCTGCGTGAAAACACTACACCATAAAGTAGTACTCATACCTGAGAAGAAGTGTGGCATATTGGAAAAAGCACTGAGCTGGAAGTAAAGAGACTTGGATCTAGTCTTATCTCCTGTTAACTAGTGGTTTTCCTTTCTGAGTCTTTGTTTCCTCCTGTTAAATGAGATGGTTGATCCTTTTAATTCTGTGGTTCTCTAAGGCAAAAGAGCAAGTGTAAAGAAGCTCATTCAATTATTTAATAATGATTATTGTGCACTTGGGCTAGGTGCTAGGGATACACCCAAAATAGTTGTAGTTCCTGCCTTTCTGGAGCATATAATGATGAGAATCATTAAGAATTGGTAGGAATTCAACAGGTAGAGAGGAAGAGATGGAGAAACAGAATGGGCAGAAGTACAGGTAGAAAAGTTGTAGATGTGTTTCAGGGTATAACGGCTAGATTACCTAGCTGGGACGAAAGGTTGCATAGAGGAATAAAGAGGTAAGGAAAGGGAATTAACATTTGGTGGAAACCTACCGTGTGTCATGCTGTGATTTTAATTCATTTAACCACCGCCTATGAGATAGATGTTATCTTCATTTTATAAATGAAGAAATTAAAACTCAGGTGAAGTAATTTGCCTAAATCATCCACCAAATTAAGTGGCATTTAATCAGGATTTAAAGCCAGATTTTTAAGACTGTATTTTTTTTCATTATGCCATTATGAGTACTTCGTGCGCGTGTTGCCAGTTGTTTTATATGCATGCTTGTCATATTTATGACTCCTTTTTCTCTGCAGGGAATGGACAGATTACCGGCATTGTCCAGCTGCCAGGTGGAAGATTTCAGATGGGAACAAATTCTCCAGATGGCAGAGATGGTGAAGGGCCTGTCCGGGAGGTGACAGTAAAACCCTTTGCCATTGACATATTTCCTGTCACCAACAAAGACTTCAGGTATATCAGGTGTTCTTCGAGGAGGAGTAAAGGCTCTTTCTAATTTTCCATCCCTGATATCTAAAAGGAAACGAGCTTGTTATCACATACCATCTTTGCAGTAGTACTGTGGAATAAAGTGTTATCTACCTGTTGCAGATGAATCAGAAGCTCAGTGGCAGAGCTGCGAGGCTTGGACCTCAAATCCCCTCTACTTACCCCAGTGCATTTTCTACTACACTGGGCATAGCACAAAGAAATATGGGCAAAAAGTCAAACACTCAATGGAAACTTCTTCTGCAAGGGGGCAGGGATTGGAAGAAAGGTCATGCTAGCGGAGATCAGGCCAGAGGGACCGCTGTGCTCACTGAGGAGTCCCTGAAATTCCCTTTATATTTGTTAAGAGAAATGGCATTTTCAGAGGTTTTTGTTCCAGCCATTGCTCTCAGCCATGTTGAACTGTTTTGCTTTCCCCAAGGCCAGCTACTTTGGGGAAGCTAAAGTGAAAAAAGGGTTCAGAAGATATCTGTAATTTACCTTCAAATGGGATGGCAGAAAAAGATAGATAACAATAAAGCAAATGTGGGCAAATGTTACATTTATGGACTTAAAATTTTTCAAAATAAAAAGCTGAGGGAAAAAATTGATTTAGTAGACACAGACTGAAGTAAGCATAGGGCTCGTTGGTGTAGTTCTCAGGCCCTTTGATCCAGTGATTCCACCTCCAGGGATTTGTCTTAGGGAAAGAATGAAGGTTTTCCAAAAACATCTAGCTATATAAAGATGACACAAGCAACTAGCAATTTAAAAATCGCTTAAACATGTTGTGTTGTTATAACAGACTACTTAGCAGCCATTACAAATTCTGTTGTTGGAAACAGTTACGTTAAGCAAAAAAAAAAAAGGCTTCAAAACAATATGTAAGTCATGATCCTGTTTAAAGTATTGTATGTATAGAATGTATGTACACAAAAAAATAATCTAGAAGGATGTATTTTTTTAATTGGTGTTATAATAGGTGCTTTTTTTTTTTTAATAATGGATGCTTTAAAAAAATTTTTTTTAACCTACCTGTGTTTTTTACTTTTTGTACAATGCAATGTGCATTCTTATATATGCTTTTAAAAAGCATTTTTAAAAAGGAAAGTTATTAATATTGGAGGGGAAATCACTGCTGAGCAGGTTTGTACCATATCATGACAACCAGAAACAGCTGGCTAGATAGATGCAGAATACACAGTTTTACATTTCAGATTATGACCTATTATGCGATGGGCATATAATCTTACCTCTAGTGAGCCCCTAAACTTTGCTTAGAATCCCATGATTTGTATCTGCCTCTCTGGTGAAAGATTCTCAGACTGTTCAGATGCTCTGGGGTCAGTAAATAACTGTTCTATAAAATCTCCTGCTTACCTCCTTCATTCTCAAAGCCCCTTTGACGAATGAACAGCATCTTCTCATCTCAGAGGGCTGGAACAAACAGTTTCTCAGTCAGACTACTATTAGCCCAAGGAAAACTGTCTTACCCAGGCAGTCTGCTTTCTGAAATCTACTAAATATACCAAACTATATGAAAATCCATTCTAAAATCTTAGTAAGTCATTCTTTTTAGATTGGGTCTTTCATTCATTAGATGGAGATAATAACACCTGTTCAGCCTGCCTCCCATGATTGTTGTGAGATAGATATGTGATGAAGACCCTTCAGAAAGAGGCCTGTTCCCCACCCTGAAGTCTCCTGCTCAGCAGCTTTATTCATAATCTCCCCAAACTAGAGATAACCCAGTGTCCTTCAACTGGTGAATATATAAACAAACTATGGTACATTCGTACAGTGGAATACAACTCAGCAATAAAGAGGTACAAACTACTGATACACGAAACAACATGGATAAACCTTAAATCATTATACTAAGGGAAAGTAGCCAATTTCAAAAGGCTACATATTGTACGTTTCAGTTTATATAGCATTTTAGAAAAGGCAAAATTATAAGGGCAAAAAATCTATCAGGGGCAGGGAAGATTTTTTGAGGTGATGGAACTCTTCTGTATCTTGATTGTGGTAGTGACTGTATGCTTTTGTCAAAACTTGCAGAATTATACACTAAAAAGTTAATTTTACTGTATGTGAATTGTATCTTTTTTTAAGGTAAACAAAAAATTTCCTTATTTTTTATTGCTGTAAAATACAGTTGACTAAATATAAATTTGTAACATTGTATTGTGAGGTTTATAACACACATAAGAGTAAAACGTACAACAATTATAGCACAAAATATGGGAGGAAGAAATTGGAAGTATACTGTTGTAAGATTTTCACACTATTGTGAAGTAGTATAATATTTGAAGATGAACTGTGATAAATAAAAGGTGTATATTATAAACCGTAGGACAACCACTAAAATTTTTTTCTTAAAATAATTTATTTTTGGTAGCTATATACACAACCAAAAACACATCCATTCACAATTTCTACATGAACAGCTCAATAACATTGGTTACATACTTGTGAAGTATAGCTTAATTTAAAATACAGTTTTCTGCTCAGGCTTTCAGATTAATTTCATGGAGTGCATGACATCTCTGATGTATGATTTACAGGACAAGAATATATTAGGTTTTCAGGAGTGGGGGTGGGCAGTGACCCCGTCAGCTGAACCAAGTGAAATCTCTCTTTTCAGGGAGTTTGTCAGGGCAAACAAGTACCGGACAGAGGCTGAGTCGTTTGGGTGGAGCTTTGTCTTTGAGGACTTCGTCTCAGATGAGCTCAGAAAAAAAGCAACCCATCAAATGAAGGTGAGAGAACCTGGCCTTGCTGCTGAGTGGGTGGGAGTGGGACCTGGACAGAGAATCCTATAGGATATAGGTTCACTGGGGTTGCAGTCCCAAGAGCTGGAGGCTGGGAGGAAGCTAGAGAAACCCACCTCAGAAGAAGAGTCAAATAGCATGCCCTCCAGGGAAATTAACCCTGGGCTGGCTGCTGCCTAGAGGGAGACTGATAAAAATCAGATCATACAGGGTTCAGGCGAACTGGCGAGATCATCTTGACAAACCTCCCTCTAATAAGGTGGTGAGATGTCATTCTTTAAAGTTTTCTGCCACAGCCTCACGTGGCCCAGCTGAGCTTCAGCCTGAATTCTTTGCCCTGCCTCCTGTCCTCCATTAGAAAGGTGGCCTTGCTGGCACAGAGCCTCTTACAGTCAGGCTTTTTCTCTTTCGCAGTCTCTCCTCTGGTGGCTTCCCGTGGAAAAAGCATTTTGGAGGCAGGTAAGAGTTGGTTCCTGTACCTCATTTTCTACCCCAGTTGACGCTGACTGGCTTCCCTAGACCCCTTGCCTATTAGGCAGGGCTTCAGATCGGTTCTGCCTATTTCAGACTTGGCTGATGAAGTGAAACCCAGAAGGACCTGAGTTTTTAAAATGTGAGTAAATTAGAATGATAAGCAGAAGGGGAGAAATTAGAGGTCAAAGCCCTGCTTGAAACTTAATCTCCCTCTTAGAAAACGAGGGCAGTGTGTGCATTGCATAGCAACCAAATCTCTTGACAGGTAGAGTCGGAAACAGCAGTGCCCCGCTCAAAGATAGCAGCTGACCACACTGCTTTGAATGTATGTCGTGCTCCACAGTCCTGGCAGTAATCCAGTCTTCTACATCAGGCTCCTGAAAGGGCTCACTACGTCTCTACTGAGTCTCCCATTCCAGGGCTTCATCCCATAATTTTTCCCATCCACTTCACCCAAATTTACAAAATTCAGGTGTGTTCCAATTTCGCTTCATTGGCCATGACTGAACAGTTTCAAACTGGTTTGAAGCCCTGCAACTAGGACTACTGAGTTGAAAAGGATGATAGGGATGAGGATTTCAGGTGAATAGCCAAGCAATCCTGTTTCCCCCACCCTAATCCTTTTTCCTTTGCCCACCATCCCATTTTTCCCTTTACACTCAGATATAGTCTCTTCCTGGCCTCAGGCCTCTCCTCACTCACCAGGCTCTCTCTTCCGACTTTCTTGCTCCCTCTAGTGGTAAATGCTGAACTCAGGCACCCTAAGCCTAGCCTTCCTCAAACTTCCATGATCCCAGAAGCGTGTCTCACTTCACCCTGGCTGTCAGCCTGCAGGTCCCGGCTCCGGCATCCGAGAGAAACTGGAGCTCCCGGTGTTACACGTGAGCTGGAACGATGCCCGTACCTACTGTGCTTGGCGGGGGAAACGGCTGCCCACTGAGGAGGAGTGGGAGTTTGCTGCCCGAGGGGGCCTGAAGGGTATACGTGCGCCAAGGCGATTTCCGTTTAATTTTCTCTCCTTCCTGCCCTGCAGCAGGGGGCTCCAAAAGGTGGGAAGGCCCCTGTTCCCTAGAGCAATGCTGTGTAAACTGCCTGTGGGGAAGGATGAGTTGTAATTTCTTCATTTCTTATCCATCTCAGGCCAATACTTCTGTAAAATACAATACAAGTGAATAACTGGAAAAATTGAATGAAAAACCAGACATAAAATGCAAGCAGGCCCCAATTTTTATTGGTGGAGATTCCACAGACATAAATGATATTAAATGTAGTTGAAATAACAGCATAGAGTAAAAGAAAAGAATTGCCAAAACTGCACATATTTTCCATAGGTGTGTAGATGGTGAATGTAGCAAATTGCTATTCACTGTAATTTTTTGTCATAAAAATCAGGAGTTGAAAACCCTGTGGAGCACAGTTTTACTGGTGATGGCATGGGATTGCCATGAGTTGTGGTCACCTAAATGGTAGGGTTTTGGAGTTCCTGGGTGGTGCAATGATTAACATGCTCAGTTGCTAACTGAAAGGTTGGAGGTTGGAGTCCACCCAGAGACACCTCAAAAGAAAGGTTTGGTGGTCTGCTTCCAAAAAATCAGCCATTGAAAACTCTGTGGAGGACAATTCTACTCTGACACACATGAGGTCCCTGTGAGTTGGAATCAACTTGACAGTAACTGGCTTTTTTTCAACTTAACAAAAAGTTACAAGTGAAATAGCGATTCCCCATATCAAACGCCTCTACACACTCTGAGTGAGCATGGGCATGTCAACAGGCATAGTCTTTAATGTGACAAATGAAGTTGCTTCTTGCTTGCCCATTTATCCAGTCTAAGTTCAGTTAACGAGTTCCTCAATGCTTGTTCTCCATTTCTTGTTTTTTTTTTTTTAAATTTTCATTTTTAATAACCTCAATGACATAGTAATAATGCATTTCCCAATCTCCATTTCTTTACTGATCTCACCGGGGACCAGAAACAAATAGTTTACAGACTGGCACTGGTCCCAGAGCCACACTTAGAAATGCACTGCCCTGGGGCATAGTCAAGGGACCAGGGATGCTGAGTGGAGGGGATGGGTGTGGAGGGACGCCTAACGTACAGTGAGTGGACGGGATGGACGTGAAAGTACAAGTAAATAATCTTGCTCTTCTTTTCCCATCACCCAACTCTCTTTTGGCCCCCCACTCTTTTATCCCCCCTTCTCCCTCCCCAACTCTTCACCCTTACCTCCTCCGCTGTCCTCTTACTCTCCTTGCAGGTCAGGTTTACCCCTGGGGGAACCAGTTCCAGCCAAACCGCACCAACCTGTGGCAGGTGAGACCTGTGTCCCTTGCTCCCGTCCTTTCGCCAAACACTGATTGAGACTTGCTATAGACCAGCACAGTGTTAGGCCAGGATTCAGAGGGCTTTGTGTTCCAGTGCAGCTGATGACTGGTAAATCTGTCAGGCAGAGGACAGTGTGGCTCAGGAGCAAATCACAGCCTGAGGGTGCTAGGCCAGACTTCACAGAGAAGGTGACATTCGAGCTGACTGAATAGGAGGAAATATGGAGGAAAAGGGAGTCCGAGCAGAGAAAACAATGTGTTCGGGCACCGTGCATAGAGGCTGGCGTGCAGGGAAATGGGTTGGAAGAGATGGAAGGAGAGAGAGGGTCGGGGCAGCTTGTGAAGAACTAGGTGTTTTAGATTTTACCCTGAAGGCAGTGGGGAGCCAATAAAGGCGTTTTGTTATGTTTCAGTGTGGGTAAAAATATATATAACAAAACATTTGCCAGTTTGTTTTTACATGTACAACGCAGTGATATTGATCACACTCATGCCTTTTCCAAATTATTCTGCCACCATTAACAGAAGCTCAGTGACCCCTAAGCAATGACTCTCTCTTTCCCCCTCCCTCCTACCCTTGGCCACCACTAATAAGCTCTAGTCTCTATACATTTGCCTAGTTCATATTAGTGAGGTCATACAGTGTACATCCTGTTTTGACTGACTTATTTCCCTCAGCATAATGGTTTCAGGGTTCTTCCACATTGTGGTATCAGGACTTCATTTCTCTCTGTGGCTGAGTAGTAGTCCATTGAATTTTGTTTATCCATTCATTCACTGATGGACATTTCTCTTGTTTCCACCTTTTGGCTATTATGAATAGTGCTGCAGTGAACATTGGTGTACAAATTTCTGTTTGCACGCCAACAGGCTTTTTTCCTAAATTTTATTTATTTTGTTGTTGTTGAGAATATACACAGCAAAACATACACCAGTTCATCCGTTTCTACATGTACAGTTTAGTGACATTGATTACATTCTTCAAGTTGTGCACTCATTCTCACCCTCCTTTTCTGAGTTGATCCTCCCTCATTAACATAAATTCACTGCCCCCATCTTTCATCAGTTTGATCCCATACTGATAGTTCTTAAAAGAGCATAATGCTCAAGGCAGACCTTTTTTACTAGTTAAGCTAAACAATTATTCAATTTTAAGAAGACTTAAGGGGATATTTTTCATTTAAGGTTTAAAGATGATCTCAAGGCAATAGTTCTGGGGATGTTTTTTTTTTTTAATGGAGAAAATACCTGCCTTCCAGTGTTGGGAGGATTAAATTGAAAGAGGTAAATGTAACAGACCCAGCACAATACCTAGCAAACAGTGGGTGTTGAGTAAATTATACACCCTTCAACTGATGGCAGCTAAAACCCAACTTTAATAATAAGGAACAAGGTGAACAAATTGAATCAGCAAATACAGGCTACTTTTCCAAGCAGTTTGGTGGGAAAGAGCAAGAAGAGATGGGGTTGTAGCTCAAGCGAGGGCAGAGTCAGATCTGTTGAGGGCGAGTTAAGCACATTGGTGGTGATGGAGGGGAAGAGTCCCACAGTACAAGAGAGCACAGGGGGACGACCAAGTTCCTGAGGAGGTGGACGGGAGCGGGATCTATGCTTAGAGGGCAGCAGGAACAGGAACGGGGAGGAGCTTTCTGCTCAGGGTGCCGTAGCACGTGAGGCTAGAGATGGGAGAAAGTCGCCGATTGTAGGGAGAGCAGGAGTAGGGTGGGCTTGACATGGACAGCGGGGAAAACCACACACTCTTCCTGACCCAGCCACGGGGTCATGGTGGAGGACATGACACTGATTGGGGAGCTTGGGGTAGGAGCTTCAGGCCACTGTCCCCTACGCCAGATGACGCAGTAAGGTGACTTTGGTATTCCACTGGGCAGGATGCCTTTCCCCAGGTGACACAGTAAGATGACCTTCGTATTCCTCTGGGCAAGGCACCTTTTCCCCTATCCCAGATGACACAGTATGATGACGTTTGTATTCCTCTGGGCAGGCAGGAACTTGCCTTGGGACAGGATGGTAAGTCTTTTAACCCAAATCTCTCCCTTCAGGGGAAGTTTCCCAAAGGTGACAGGGCCGAGGATGGCTTCCATGGGGTCTCCCCAGTGAACGCTTTCCCCCCACAGAATAACTACGGTAAGATGTCGCATCGGGTTGCTGTCCGTCCTCCCAGATTGGTTGGTGGGATCATTCAGCCTGACAGACCAGGTGGAGGGAAGCACCCACCCCTACTGCTGCTCTGGGCATACGATGGTTAGGAGGGTGGATCTGGTTTCCCCAGCCTGTGACCAACCTGCCTGCTGGGCTGCAGGGCTCTACGACCTCATGGGCAACGTGTGGGAATGGACAGCATCACCGTACCACCCTGCCAACCAGGACATGCGTGTCCTTCGGGGGGCATCGTGGATCGACACGGCCGATGGCTCTGCCAATCACCGCGCCCGGGTCACTACCAGGTGAGGGACCTTGGTCCACAGGGACAAGCAAAGGACAGTGCAGTGGCTGGGGGCCTGAGGGCTGGAGGGAAGAATCTAGGTCCTGGGCTCCAGAGCAGAGAGGCAGTAGAGCTAGTGTTTAGCTACCTCCGTGTCCCCACCTCTACCAAGGGTACAGAAGCAAAAGAATGCGGTGCTTGCTGTGACAAGCAAAAGGGCCCAAGGACATTGATGTTTTCCTGCCAGCTCTCAGTGTTTTCACCAAGGGAGCTCTGTGCGTTCAGCATCTTCATTATGCGGGTTTCTCCTCTTGTCCTCAAAGTGAGGCGGGCAGAGAGAGCAGAGGGCTTTGGAAAGGGCACATCCAGGGGTCAGCCAGTGGTCATGGACTCATCAGACTGGTGGGCAAGCAATTTTCTAAACCACTTAGTTTTACAATCAAGGAACAGCGGGTCCTGGGAGGCCCTGGGACCTGCTCATTTCAGAGGGGGTGGTGGGACCACATAGTCGAGTCCCTGTCTCCAGACTGCCCTTTTAGACGCTTTCTACTTTGTTCACTGATAGAGTTAATCCCGTCGTTTTCTCTACAACTCCCTCCACCCTGGATCCTGGCAGGACTGCAGAGAGCCCACTGTCTGGGGGGACTCAGGGTGTCAGGTTCACAGAAGTTCCTGTGACACATGGAGGCCCCTGGCTTTTCCTCGCCTACTTTTCCAGGATAAAATAGTGAGAAAGTACTGGCCTAGAGACCAGGAAACTGGCTTTTCCACTGATTCTGTTCTGCCACTGAGTGAGTGGTTAGTCTCCAATTCTGAGTCTGCAGAATGAGGGACAGCCCTATCTTCCAGAGCAGTTGGGACATGGCAGATAAAGAAATATATGTGGGAGTTCTTTGAAAAGTGCAACGTACGGATTAGTGCTGTGACAGTTTTTGTGGTAGTTTTTAGGCCAAGTTATTCTCTGCTACTAACAGTAGAAGTTACTGTCATGGTCTTTCCTGCCTCGAGCACAACACTCTCAGGACCACACTCTCACCACCCACCGTGTCCCAGACCCCCCCCCAGCCCTTTCCCCCCCGGGAGTGGCAGGTGCTCAGGGCTGGCCCTCACGCCAGGGCCAACCCAGTCCTCAGGCACACTGGCCACAGCAGGCCTTGGGGGGTTGGGAAAGGAAGCTGGGTCAGGCCTCAGGCTCCTTTCTCAACAAATGTCCATCCTCTCCCCCCCTCTCTGGCAGCAGAATGGGCAACACCCCAGATTCCGCCTCAGACAACCTAGGCTTCCGCTGTGCTTCCAGTGCAGGCCACCTGCATGGGGAGCTGTGAGCAGTCTTGCAGACAAGGAGAAAAGTTCCCTATGGGGCCTGTGCCAATCCAGCTAGTCTCAACAGAGGACTCTTCAGCTTCAACCTCAGGAACAGTCTCCTTCCCCTCCCCCATCCCACCGTGGCAGGGGCCTCTCACCAGGCAGGAGGGGACCCTGATCCTGAAGAGGCCCAACTCAGTGATGGTGGCTGGGAGCCGGGTGTTTCTCTTAGATGTATTAACCAGTTGGGCCAGATACTCAAACAGGTGGAGCCAAGTGCTTTGAAAGGTACTTAAAACATTTTAAAATTTGTTTCCTCCCCTTTCCCTCATTGTCTGATTCAGGGGATCTGACAGTGTTTCCTCAAGGACAAACTTCCTTTGTTTTCCCAGCAAATGGCTTTAGGAGGAAAATGCTTCCTTCCTTTGTCTTATCCCTCGTGTTTCATGCCCAGTAAAACACAATGTCCACCTGAAGAAGGTGGATGCTGAGAAGCATGTGGGCGTCATGAAGTCAGTAACACTTCAGAAAGACACATACCAGAAGCTCCCCTTCCATTATTGATCGTCTGAGGGGTGTGAGGGTTTCCATGGCCTCCGAAGCCATGTGCTTGGAGAGTAACCTGCTCCCCTGGTGTCACTGAACATGGCGAGGTCAGTAAATGGCGCTGATTGTGTGTCTCGGACTTTTCTTTGTCTTTTATCTTCCCCCTGGGACCCCAAGGGCAGAAGCCCTCCGAAAAGAAACAGTGGCCTAGCTGGGAAGTGGAGAAGCGGGCAGCCCCTCCCCACCGCCGGGCCTGGCCCAGCCTGTGTCTCTGTGCTGGGAGTAGCCTGTTACTCGGTGCGGAGGCTCTGAGGGGACAGCACCCCAACTTAAGGGGCTCCTGTCCAGGGGTACCTCCCCACGGAGCCCTGCAAGCGCTCAGTCCTTTCTTTTCTATTTCCGGCCCCCACGCCCGCTGCGTCCACCTTCCCCAGCGCCCCTCAGTAATCCTCCACTAGGGAGAGCAGCACGGCCTTGGGGGTGTGCTCGAAGAGCGCGGCGCGGTTCTGCTGCTGCCCCTTCTTCACCCAGTGCCCGTATATGCGGAAGGCGCAGGCGTCGATGAGGCGGCGCAGCGGCCGCAGCGCGTACGGGTCGCGGAGCACAATTTCCCGGGTCACAGGCTTGACGCGGCGGTACTGGTAGTAGATCCGCACCGAGGCCAGCACCGTCAGCGCAATCACCTGCGGGGGCCGCGACTGAGACCCCGACCGGCAGCGCCTCCGGTGCAGGGAGGCCCTGGACTGGTGTGCCGTGAAGCGAGCGTGGCCCCCGTACCCACCCGCCAGCACCCGCCGGGGTTCAGGCCGACGGAGGGGAGCCACGGTGCCCACACCCATGTCCCATGAAGTCGGAAGTTGGGTGGGTGCGAGGGGAGGGCCCCATGCCCCAGAAACTCTGCCTGGGTGTAAAGAGGAGGCCTGGCGGCCCGGCCTTCCTCCGAGCCAGCAGCAGCTGCTCAGGGCCCACGTACCTTGAACTTTCCCCGGGGGCTGAAGTGACGCACTTCCTCCACCACGTACTGCTGGAAGAAGGGGTGCGCCAGGGCCTCTTCGACTGTGCAGCGACTCTGGGGGCTCACCACCAAGAAACGGGAAATCTGAGAACAAAGAAGAGGAAGAGAAAACGTTAAGACGGGCTCTCCAGCTTTGCAGAGAACGTGGGCCCTGTTGTGGCATGGCGTTACCCTCCCCCAAGCCTGGGAGCCCCTCACCAAGTCCTTCACAGTGTCCGAATGGTCGTCCCACTGGGGTGAGCCAAGTTGGTATTTGCCGCTCATGATCAGCCTCAACATCAGCATCTGCTTCCGGTGCCAGAAGGGCGGGGAGCCGGCCAGCAGGGTGTACATGATGACGCCTGTGCTCCACCTGGGGACACGAGGGCCGCTGTCACATGCAGCATGGGGGCCGGGAGGGCCGACAGTAGCCCAGTGCAGGGCATGGGGTCTCCTCTCCCCAGACACTCACATGTCCACCTCCTTCCCGTAGCCTGGGTGGTTGTCGTTCATGGAGCACTCGATGATCTCGGGGGCCAGGTAACTGGGCGTTCCACAGACTTCTGCAGGCACAGTTGCCAGCAGGGCAGGTCAGCAGGTAGGACTTGGACGAGGCAGGTCCAGAGAAACAATGAAGAGGGGGCAGAAGTGGTGCTGGAACTGGGGCTTTCCTAACCCTGGGCCAAGGACAGGGGCCTCAAGGGCCACAAGCTTGGGGACCACTGGTTCCCTGGTCACTTGCTGCCATACTGGCCTGGTACTTGGGCCATGGAAAAGGACTGGCTTAAGAGGCCCCTGAAATGGTAGGGTTTTCTGGGGAAGAAGAGTCGGGAGAAACTCAGGCAAACTCTGCTCCAGAGAGGGTTGAGGGAACCCCAGCCTGGCATGGGCCCCATGCCATTCCCGGACCTCGTAGCCTCTCTCCTGGCTCCAGCTGGCAGGAGAAGCCAAAGTCTGTGAGCTTGATGTTCATGTCGTCGTCCAGGAGGATGTTCTCGGGCTTCAGGTCCCGATGCACGATGTTGAGCTTGTGCAGGGTGCAGATCACCTCCAGCAGGGCCCGCATGATCTTCCTGGGAGGGGCACACAGGTGGTGCTGACGACAGGCAGGAGGACCCAGGCCCCCGCCCAGCACAACCCAGGACAGGCTGGGACCCAAGACTGTGCCAAGGAGCAAGGGAGGCCATTAAATCCAGTGGCGCATGTCCCTGGCCCAACAGGTGCACCCGATGTCTCCACGCCTGCAGCACTAGGGCTGGGAAGGACAGGAGAGCAAGGGCCGGGTGCACCCTCACCTGGTTTCCTTCTCACTCAGGGCAACCTTCTCGGTAAGATAATCAAAGAGCTCTCCTCGCTTCATCCTGTGGAGACAAAGGATGTGTAGCTCGATTGGTCCCAAGACCACCCCCTCCTTACCCTGTCCCCAGATAACTGCCCCCACCCTAATACCCCCCAAAGGCAAAGTGGGCTATTCTCAGGACCCAGGCCTGGGATGAGGAACCAGGGAAGGGAATGGGTAGGTTGTCTGGGAAGCCTGGAAGACAGCAAAGGAGGCTGGGAGCAGGTTGTGCACCGGGAGGGGTCCCACCATCTGGGAGTGACGTCATGAGCTGGGATTTCTCAGGGCCAAAATCTGCTGGGGGTGGGGCATTCTCCCAGATGGGAATGTGAGGAGTCTCCCCGATCGCCCCAGGGACCGAGTGGAAGGTCTCGGCAGTGCCAGAGTCAGAGGAGGAGAGGTTGCTACTCTAGGGTTAAGAATCACAGTTCCGTCTTCTCACCTCTTGAGATGATGCAGAGAGAGGTCTTGGGACAGCAATCTAGTTCTACCCTGGAAGGCTCCTCAGGGCAGCATTAAAAATAGCTTCCCCAAGCAACATCTCCAAAGATTAGAGACATTCGAGCTGCCCCCAGGCCTGCCTGCCTGCACAGGACAGTCAGGACGGTGGCTGTGGTCAGGTCCTGGGAACATCTCCCTTGGTTAAACAGGGAAGGGTGCATCCTGCACCCTCCCACCCACCCCTCCAGGGAAAGAAGTGGGGTTCCTAGGGTGAAATGGGGGGTGGGGAATGAGTGGAGGAACACCGGATTTGGCTAGTGCCATAGAGAGGCAAGAGAACCCTTGGGCTTGTCTGATGGGGCAGGGAGGGTGGTTCTGTTTGGGGAGACAACCTAGAGTTGACAGAGGTAAGCCTTGGTGTATACCGTATCTGTACTGTGTTCCTGCAAGGCAGTGTGTGAATATAGTTTTTATCATTTTTATCCTATTTGAGAGGCCCTAGGAGGAATTACTAAGGAGTCCTGGTGGCGCAATGGTTAAATGCTCAGCTGTTATAACCAAAAGGTCGGTGGTTCGAACCCAGCAGCTGCGTGAGAGAAAAGACCTGGCGATCTGCTCCCATAAAGATTACATCCTAGAAAACCCTATGGGGCAGTTCTGCTTTGTCATATAGGGTCACTATGCATAGGCATCGACTCAGTGCTGCACGACAACACCAGGAGAGCTTGCTGGTGGCAGCAGCAGCAAAAAGATTTACCTGTGAATACTGGTAGATGAGCAGGCTCCTGCCTTTTTGGAGCTGCCAGTTTAATTGCACACACATATGCAAAGTTAAATTGTGTCTTAAGTTAAAAAAAATCTTACACGTATTCAGTAGAGCTAGAACTTGAAATGTTACAATACAAAATCTGCTTGAGTAATTTTCTCAAGTAAAACCAGCCCCTAAATTAGGTGGTGTTGTTAGCTGCTGTCAAGTCAATTCTGACTCATGGTGACCCCATGTTAGAGTAGAACTGTTCCATAGGGTTTTCTTGGCTATAATCTTTATGGAAGCAGATTTCCAGGCCTGTCTTCCACAGTACCACTGGGTGGGTTTGAACCGACAACCTTTAGGTTTGCACCACCCAGGGACCTTAAACTAGCTGTTATGTGTGGAGAAATCAAAACCCCACTACACCAGTGATTCGGGTTCTGTAGCAAGGACACAGTGGAGTGGAGGGAACGGGGCGCTGGGGCATTCCCTCCCCTGGGCACCTTTTCTAAGTGTGGATGCGGTTGTGGTGTTCTCATTTGATGCTTGGAACCTGGCGAGCTGGGCAGAGTGGTTGGTATCCCTGTTCCTTTCTTGAGAAGAGAAAACAGGCTGTCCCTGAGACAGGGAGGAGCCCATCGCCTTAGCACTGTTGGTGCAGAAGCAGGAGGATGGTGGTGATGATGATGATGATGATGATGTCAGCTTCACCTTTGAACCACATCCCAAATACAGCCCCCACCCCCCTTCCTGGTCTGAAAGCTGGTCCGAGCAGTGGCCTGCCTCCCGCCTGGATACCACTGGCCTCCCTCTGCCCACTCTGGCCTCCCCAGACAGTCAGCTTGAGCCTTCCCACACGTACATCAGACCCCAGCACCTTCCTGCCCTTGGCCTTTCAGTGGCCTCCCCAAGTCTCATGGCTAACGTGTCCCACAGAACCTGGTGTTTGGAACTGGTTGACCTGGCATCCTACCTTTCACCACAAGGCCTCCACTCCCCAACCTGGGCTGCCTTGCCAGTCGTGGAACACGCTAAGCCCAGGCCCTGGCGCTGGCTCTTCCCTGCCTGGAGGCTCTGCTCTGACCCCACCTCACTTCATGTTCTGTTCAGGTCACCTCCCCGGCGCACCTCCAGACCATTCCATCTAAAGCGGGCCCTCCCTGTAACGCTCTAGCTTTGTTCTGCTTTCTGTACGTGGACACAGTATGTGGAGATATTATAGCTTTTTTTTTTCTGTTCACTCTCAATGAAAATGATAACATGAAGTCAAGGACCTTGTCTGTCTGGTTCGTTGCTGTATCCTCAGTGTCTAGAATAATTACTGAATGATCCACCATCATCATTGTCATTGTTAGCTGCTGTGAACTTGGCCCTGACTCATGGTGACCCCATGCACAGTGGAACAAAACACTGCCCAGTCCTCTGCCATCCCCGTGATCAGTTGTGAATCAGACGGTCGTGACCCATAGGATTTTTGTTAGCTGATTTTTGAAAGTAGATTGCCACGTCTTCCTAATCTGTCTTAGTCTGGAAGCTCCACTGAAACCTGCTTAGCATGATAGCAACATGCAAACCTACACGGATGGAGGGGTGGTGGCCGCATATGAGGTACATTGGCCAGGAATCAAAGTTGGATCTCTTGCAAGGAAGGCGAGAATTCTGCCACTGAACCACAGATGCCTCACGCGTTGTCATTGTAGTTAATAACTATTAGCATTTACCATGTACCTGTCACTGTACCAAACTTTTTATATAATAATATCAAATTTAAACCTCACAACAACCCCTATGGTCAGTCCTGTTATTGCCCCCATAATACGGATGAGAAAACTGATACTCAGAGGAATCATCAAGCCTATAAATGGTGGACCCGGGTTCCAAACTGGGCAGCCTGACCCAGGGCTGATCTGCCTAAAGTGTTTGTGGTCTGGTGTCCACAGTGGAGGGGGCTGGCTGTGGTTCCTGGAAAGCACTGGATAGGGGACCATGCTCTGAGGTTCTCTGATGAGCCCCCAGGGTATGGCTGGCTCCAGGGTTGGGTACTTACAGGTCAAACACCAAGAAGAAGAAAGTGTTGGTCTCATAGGTGTCCTTCAGCTGGACTGAAAGAGAAACAGCTAGCTGGTTTCAGGCCACAGAGCAGGCTGGGCAGGGGCAAGGGGATTAGACTGATGTGGGCTGACTTCAAAAACTGGGGGTAGGGTAGCAAGACGGAGCTCGAAGTGTGTCCAGCAGAGGACTGGGCAGCCCGGGACCTCAGACCCTCCATTTCCATCCCCCCCACACCTGCCTGGAACCGCTTCTGTACCCACAACTGTGAGGGTGGTGGGGCTGGTGGGCTGTCAGCATGCAAGAGCAGCTCTGGTGGGTTGAGCTGCACTGTGGGGCTGCACTCCCATGGGTGATGGGGCAGAGTCGTGGCAGAGCACCCCTGCTGAGCCTCGTGCCATCACTCACTGATGTTGGGGTGCCCCGAGACCTTGCGCAGGATGTCCACCTCCTTCAGCGTGGCCTCTCGCAGCTCCTTCACCTCCTCGGAGCTGAAGCTGCCTCCGCCAGTGATATCAATGATCTTCACGGCGTACTCCTGGCACGTGGGTTTGTGGATGCAGCGCCTGACGACACTGCTCAGACCCCTGGGGCACAGAGACCGGAGGGTGAGGCCACAGCAGAGATGTCGTACCCTTGTTGAGTGACTTCCACTGCCCCAACACCAGTCAGTCGGGGGTCAGGCTGCCCAGTTTGGAACCCTGGTCCACCATTTACAGGCTGGATGATTCCTTTGAGTATCAGCTTTTGGGAGTGGTGGGATGAAGAATGAGTCCCTGGGTGGTGCAGATGGTTAACACACTTGGCTGCTAACCAAAAGGTTGGAGGCTCAAGTCCACCCAGGGGTGCCTTGGAAGAAAGGCCTGGCAATCTGCTTCTAAAAGTTCAGCCATTGAAAACCCTATGGTGCACAGTTGTACTCTGATACACATGGGGTCACCATGAGTCAGAATCCACTTGATGGCAACTGTTTTTTTTAACTTGGAATGAAGAAACAAAGCACAGAGAGGGTGATTTTCCCAGAGCTGGCGAGTAACCAGCTTGGTATCAAGTCCCTTGACTCGGTGCAGTGCTCCTCCTCCACACGCACACAGGAAGAAGCTATAACCTTCCCTCTGGCTGCTGACCCTGAGCCTGACCCTGACCCCAAGCTGGGTGTGGATGTGTGTCAGCAGTGACCAAGGAGCTCTTTGCTGGGAGAGGTCTCTGGTCAAGGAACGCTGCCATCAAGTGGACCCCTGACTCACGGTGACTCCATGCACAGTGGGATTGGACCATTGTTATTCATAGTGTTTTCATTGGCTGATTTTCAGAAGTAAATCAGCAGACCTTTCTTCCTAGCCTGTCTTAGTCTGGAAGCTCTGCTGGAAACCTGTTCAGCATCATAGTAACGCACAAGCCTCCACTGATAAACGTGTGGTGGCTGCACGTGAGGTGCACTTGCTGGGAATCGAAGCTGGGTCTTCCACATGGAAGGCGAGGATTCTTCTGCTGAACCACCGCTGCCCTCTCACAGGGCTCTTACACTCCCCCTATCTTTCCTGGTGTCAGGAGGGCAGGATTCCCAAACTGAAGGATTCTCTAAGTGATTCCACTTTGGGGTGGAAGTGGGCCCGAGCCTGCTGGAGCCAGGCCAGCACTTTGCAGGGCAGTCGGTGGCGGGGCTGCCTCACCTGCCCAGGATCTCCTTGGGCTCATAGTTGTCGTAGAAGCCCTGTGCGGAGTAGGAGTCTGGCAGTGCCTCGTCCTGCGTCATGCTCAGCTCCTCAGGGGGTGACTCCGAGGGGCTCTGCGAGGGGAACAGAAGGAAGCCGTCAGCCGTCCCGCCCAGAGGATGGGCTCCATGAGGGATAGAGCCGTTCCTCACTCCTCTCTGTACCTCCGCACACGGGGCTGGCCTAGAGGGAAAAAATTCAGCCAGCTTCGGCCTCACAGTCCCTTCTGACCCCAGGAGTGACAGTCCTCCTTTCTGCTGTACCTGCCTCGCCCTCGCACCCGGAGCTTTAGAAAGAGCTTGTCTGCTTCTTCCCGCTGGCTGCAAACTCTCGTGACCCCCAGTGACCATGTGGCTCCCCCAAAGTTATGTTCTCGCTGGGAGCTGCTGCTTCCCCAGGTCAGGGTGGCAGGCCAGTCCCAAGGTGGGAGACCAGGCCCCACAGTTAGCAGTGACAGGCGACACCCCTTTGGGTTTTTTTTTTACCACTGATAGAAAACAATTAATGCAGGTTAAAAAAAAAAAACAAAAAAACAGTAAGTAAGCCCATAGGAAACCCCCCAAGTTCTCAAAAACTTACATCTTGCAGTCTTTAACACATGTTTTTACCCCAGCTACGACTGTTTATATAGAGCCATACAGCATACAGAATCACCTGAGAAGTCATGAACCCAGGTAGTATACAGCCATGTACTTCTCGATAGATAGTTCTTAATTTTATTATTGTTTTTGCTGAGAATACACACAGCAAAACACACCATTTCCTCCATTTCTACATGTACAATTCAGTGATATTGATTACGTTCTTCGAGTTGTGCAACCATTCTCACCCTCCTTTTCTGAGTTGTTCCTCCCCCAATAACATAAACTCACTGCCTCCTAAGTTTCCTATCTTTTGAGTTGCTATTGTCAGTTTGATCCCATACAGATAGATCTTAAAAGAACATAATACTCAAGGCAGACATTTTTCACTAGTTTAGCTAAACTAGTGTTTGGTTTTAAGACTTCGGGGGATATTTTTACCCCCTTGGGTTTAGAAAGCACCACAGAGAAACTGCAGAGGACAGATCAGAGTGCTGCTTCCTATCTGAGAAGACAGTGCTGGCCCTGCTTTTCCTGGCTGCTCTCTGTGCTTGTTAAAAGGTTAAGAACATTCACAGTTCCATCTTCTTAATGTGTTGTTCCTTTAGTTTGAGGTTTGAGTCTACCCAGAGGTGCCTCAGAAGAAAGGTCTGGCGATCTCCTTCCAAAAAATCAGCCATTGAAAACTTTATGGACCAGTGTCACTGATCATTATGTCTAGAAACTGTTGAATGGGAGTGGGCTTTGCTGTGTATATTTTCACCAAAAAATAAAATATTAATATAAAACAAGAAAACCCTATGAAGCACAGTCCTGCTCTGACACACGTGGGGTTGCCAGGAATTGGAATCGACTCAACAGCAACCAGTTTGGATTTTGATCTCTCTCTCAGTCTACTATCCTGCCTTGAACAGACGCTCCTTCCAGGACACCCTTCCCTTGCTGGGCCCCACTGCTCCGTCCTTATCCATTCTGCATGTCTCTGGGCCATTCAGAATCACTCATTCATTTGTTCCTTTCTTTCATGCACCCAGCAGACACTGCACACCTGCTCTCTGTCTGGCCCCATGCTGGGTGCTCTGAGGGACGCAGGGCTGAACGGTGAGTGCTGGGCCCAGGCTCCATGTCAGCCTCGTCGGGATTTCATCTCATCTCCCGTTAGCCCGTGATCTCCCCAGGGTGGCTTGGTCACCTCTGCGCCCTGTGCCCAGTGGGGGTGTATAAAAGATACCGCTCCCTAAGTGTGTGTCCACAGTTGGGCAGGTGTCTCCTTGGTCCAAGGTCCTGTGGCAGAGTGCCCCTGTCCTACCTAACTGGCCAGTGAGCCGTCAGCAGTGCGGGGCCTGCTGTGGTACGGGGCAGTGCAGGCCCTGGTACTCAGGCCTGGACACAGAGGGGCTGGTGGCCAGCCTTGCTTCAGGAATGTGGGGCTGCCAGGGAACGGGACTCCTGCCTCAGACACAGGGCTTAGAAATGGAGAGAACCATCTACTGACAGGATTGGGGGCAAACAGGAAAATGGGCACACGTTGCCCCTCAGCGGGGCCAAAGCTGCCTCTCGCCCACTTCCACCTGCCCCTCCCAGGCCTCCAGAGGCCTGGCTGTCCAAGGGACCATTTTGCTGACTAGCCAGACAGCACCCTTGCTGCCTCAGGACTGGACTGGCTGTTCTGTTCCAGGAAGACTGGTGTCCTCACTGCCGAGTGCCTGGTTACCAGAGAAGGTTTAGGATAACAACAGCCTTCTCTGCCAGCAGCAGGTGCCCCCTCCACCCCGCCTGCAGCCCCCACCCAGCCCCAGAGTGTCTGTTGCCACACAAACAAGCCCATATCCTGGAAAGTGCTTTAAGCCCCCAGGTGGGCACCTGTGCCCCCACCCCACCATCTCCCCAGCCTGGGCAGCACCAGTTCCCTCCTGCCTTTGGAGAGGAAGCTGTCTGGGCTCTCCTGGTGGCCTCCCTTCCCCCAGCCCTTTGTGGGCGGAGGATATCGGGACCCACCACAGGATGGCTCCAGCAAGACCTGCCTGACTGAGTTCTCCTGGGGCGGGGGAGGTACTTACCTTAACCCATCCCCCAGCTCTGGGGCCTAACTTGAGGCCAACTTTGTGCCTCTGTCCAGTGACCCCACCTACCCCCGCAAGTGTTTCCCAAGACCCCTTTGGAGAGGATCCCCAAATGGGAATAGGTAGCCTGTTACTTTTTGGAACATAACATCCCTCCCCCAAACTCGGAGAGTCGGAAAACACAGCTGCAGGGACCCACTTTCTGTAGAAACCTCCCCCAGAGGAGACTTCCAAGGTCAATGCTGTCACTTGCCTTTGGTCCCTGGCCTTCCAAGAGGAGGGGAATAGGGTCTCATGGGTCTAGGGTTTCCGTCCTCTCTCCCACACCCCTCCCTCTCCCGCCTGTCTCCTGGTGTCTGTCCATCACTGGCCTGGCTACTCACTCGTTAGGTCCTTGAGGGAACTTGACAGCAATCTCAAAGGTCCTGGAACTCCTGGGGGAAAGTGGACAACACAGCCTGGAGCCGTGTGCGGAGCAGAGCAGACACTTGTGGCGAGAGTAGCAGATCTTGCTGTTCTTCTTAAGGCTTTGCTACTTGATGACCGGAGCCTGATGTGCCAAAAATAAATCACAACCACAAGCCTGGGATGCAGGCCAAGACTTGGCAGGGGAGGCTGCCGGCACTCAGCGAGTGAGTCTGACAAAGGGGTGACCTCTGGTGAGGCTGAGGGAAGTTCAGGTGGCCTGGGGACCGGCAGGACAGCATGAGGTCACCATTCTTCCCCCCAGAGCTCGCTTGGCCTCCAGGCCTTGCCGGGAATGCACTCACCTCCCTGGGGGTGACTTCCATGTAAGCTGAGCACAGTGCAGGAACCTTGGAACATGAGGACAACTCCCACGACCGCTGCTGCTGGTGAGCTTGCATCATGGCCCCGACAGCCCCAGGCACTGAACGTCGGGGCCCACTGGGAGAAAGTTTATGGGTTTAAAAGGAAACCAGTACCAGTCTCTGTGGAGTTGACTCCGGCTCATGGCGACCCATGTGTGTCGGAGTAGAACTGTGCTCCATAGGGTTTTTTCTTTTTTTTAGTGAAAATATACACAGCAAAATCTACTCCCATTACAGTTTTGGGACATAATAATCCGTGACATTGGTTACGTTATTCACACTTTGTCAACATTCTTGTCTTCATAGGGTTTTCAGTGGCTGAATTATCAGATCACCCGCCAGGCCTTTCTTCTGAGATGCCTCTGGGTGGACTCCAACGTCCAGCCTTTTGGTTAGCAGCTGAGTGCGTTAACCGTTTGCACCTCCCAGGCACTGCTTGTTGGAGGACTACATAATGCAGTCCTTACAAGTTAACAAGCTTCCCCATTAGGGATCTACCACTGATCTGCCTGCTGTCATTTCACAGAAGAGACTTTCCTTAACCCACTTTGTTTTCAGCTTACAGTTTCTAAAACCAAAACCCAAACCAAACCCATTGCCATCGATTCTGACTCATAGCGACACTATAGGACAGAGTAGAACTGCCTCATAGGGTTTCCAAGGAGCAGCTGGTGGAGTCGAACTGCCGACCTTTTGGTGAGCAGCCGAGCTCTTAACCACTGCGCCACCAGGTTTCCACAGTTTCTAAAAGGCATTTCTAAATAGGCATTTGCGTATTCTGAATATTTAAGTAGGATAATAAAATATTTGTTCTTTCGTGTCTTATTTCAGCCAGCGTGTTTTCAAGGTTTATCCATGCCATAGAATGTATCAGAACTTCATTTCTCTTTGTGGCCAAATAATATTCCATTATATGGACATATCACATTTTGTTTATCCATTTATCTGCTGATAGACACGGGTTGTTTCCACCTTTTGGCTATCATGAATAATGCTGCAGTGAACACCAGTGTACAAACACCTGTTTGAGTCCCTGGGTTTCTTATAATGCATCACAAAATCCCTCCTGACCCTAGGGCAACAGCCCAATGCACCCAGTGGGTTATTCCCTGTCCACAGAGGACACGGAGCCTATGAAAGGAACATTTGAGAGCACGACTGCAGAGCCAAATGCAGGCAGGTCAACTCCTAGAAGCGAATTTGAGTTCTGTGAGACAAAGCTGGATTTATTTAAGAAATCTTCCCACCATGCCCAAATGAATCTACTTAAGACATGTTGGGTGATTGCAAGTAGCGTGTCTTTCAGGTAGAGGAAGTAGGACATCTGCAGGGGAACTGCATGTACTAAGAGAATGGTTTTCATCTCTGACCAGTTAATTGGCTATACTAAGGGGCCAACGACATGCAGTCCTGACCTGGCCAGAGGGCACACATTGACATAATGGGCCCATTCCCACACTCCCTTGCCATTCACCCAATGAGAACTGTTAGCACTTTAATCAAAGTTTCTGGTTACTGCTCAGTTGATTAAATACTGGCTCCTAAGATTCTACAGTGCCTGGACAGTTTTTAACGAGCAGCATGTTTGCTAGTGAGCTACTCCTTACATACTATTTCTCCTTACATGCAAAAGCTCCTCGGGAGCTCGGGTCAGATCTGGTGCATGCTCATTTAACATCCAAGGACAACAGACTAAGATGATTTTAAAGACATGTTGAGACAATTGTGCTTTTTTGTAAAATGAGTATATGTAGCATCAAGTGTATACCACACTCACTCAATTTATGACCTTACACTTTAAAGACACCACATCTTGGAAGAAAATCACTTTATTCTAGTTAATTCATAAACAGTAACATTACAACAGCTAGTTTAAGGAGGCCACGCAAACATCTGCCCAGCCTCAAACTTGACATCATCTCAATACAATAAGAATACCCTCTTCCATGGTGATTCTGAAGCAAGGAAGCTATTAATGATGGAGAAGAGGTTTAACTGGTGCTTGTGCACTTTACACTCTCATTATCAATTATAGTTTTATGCTAAATTAACTTGGTCATGACAGCCAACTTTCCATTTCTTCGATTTGAACTTCTTGATTACGCTAATCCTGCAACAGACAAAGTAAAAAGTTAGAAGAGCACTAGGTGCACATCCTCAACAAAACAGAGCCTTCCAAAATATGAAAGGAGGGACAATAATCCAGGGCTGCTGATTTCTGTCTGAGGTTATTAAAGGCATCCTGCAACCAAAAAGACTTCAACTTTACAATTACCAAAACTGAGACACAGCATATATGCTTGTAGTGACAAAGTCCTGCAGCTAAAATTTAGCCACTTTGTTAACAGACGTAGCTTCATCAAAGAGTTCTGATAAACCTGGACATGTAATCTCTTGATTCCACAGTTCAATCACCTAAAAGGATCAACTTCTCCCCTATTTCCTACCTGAATGGAAGTGTGAAAATGAAAATAAGCATTTTAAAAGAGAGTGAAATCTTAGGTTGACAGGAAGAAATGATATAAAAAAGATGTGGCACATAGATCTGTATCTGCTTAAGGAAGAATCAGATTCAGAACATAATTGGTAAACGCTTAAGATATTGACTAGAAAACTCTGAAAAGCTCATTGGGAGAGTTAAGTTATTTTTAGAGAAATTTAAACAAGATCTCCTCTAACTCGTCAGTTTAATTTATTAAATACAGAATCCCTAAGTTCTGTAGGCTCCAGGAGTACCACTCAGAGAAGTGAGTAGATTAATTTCAATTAGGAATTCTGGGTTGATAAATCACCTACCATTTGCAAATCTGCATTGCTTCAGCACCTCGCTGAAACCCTCACAAAGCTTGAGGTCACTCTGGTTCTGGGCACACTCCAAAAACTGTTTCATTTCATAGTGGCAGGGGCCAAACTGCTGCTGCTGCTGCTGCTCGTATGCTGGCTGGGCTCCCTGAGGCTCCTGCAAAGACAGAACATTCAAGACCACTAAAAAAGGAAATGAGATTTATACCTGGAAAAAGAACATCCATTGTTTTTGAGGTTAACTGGGGAACTAGAATCAAATGTAGATTAAAGTTTCCATTTAATAATATGGAAAGCAAACAATTTTAAAACTAGAAAGCAAGTAAGCTTTAACAAAATTCCAGCTGTAATCAGAAAGATTTAAAAACAAAGACAAAAGGTAAAATAGCTCTCTGGGCATCTCAAGACTAATTACTTCAGTGAGGCTTCATGGAGAAAAACTGTGACTATCATAGAAAAATAGATGGATGAGAGTTTCAAGAACTCAGAAATACAACACAGTATATATATATATACCCATGCTCATTAAGGCAGAAAATTTCCCATATCTCAGAAAGAGGCGTAGTGGTAAGTATCTTGATAAGAAACCACAGAGCTAGTAAAGGTACTTTCGAACACATAACCAAGAATGAGAATGGATTAGTACCCTAGGCAAAATATTTAAAATAAGGGGAAATGGCTGTTTTACAGTGAGTCTGGTTGGACTGCTACAATTCTACTCCTTAGCAAGAAACACATGATGCTGGTCTAAGGCACTAACTCAACGATCAAATGTGGCTTTTTTGATGACCCATTTTCTGTTAACAGCATATGGATATTAAAATTATAGACAATTCCAACACACAGGGAGCTTACAATAACTAGGTTTTCAAAGAAAATACATTCATGGAAGGGAATGCTGCCTAAAATGTTACCTGGTAAGTGATGTCAGGCCTTGAGGGCTCAGCATTACTTCCTCCACTGAAGCCTCCAGTGATGGCATGGCCCAGCGTGTGCCCGACAGCAGAGCCCACAGCCACGCCGGCAGCAGTGGTTGCCATCTGGGCCATGAGACCTGGCTGCCGGGGTGCAGCAGCAGGTGAGCCAACTGCAGACGGTGGGGCTACTACTGGTGGCTGAGCGACTGGTGCTGGCCTGGGGGCAGCTCTCATCTGAGGCGATCGGCTGGGAAAGGAAAGAACAAAATAAAGTTCCACTTGCAACCAGGTTTGGAAAATGTTAACTTTAAAATAATCCTCAGGGTTTTCATTTAAAATTATTAAGCACAAATACTTACATGCATTCAAAAACACAGAAACTTCCCTGCTATTTGCATCATTTTCTCTTTAACCTTTCGTTAAAGTTGTAATCACCAAGTATAAACCATTTCTTCTGCTTTTTTTGGCAACCATTTCCACATATTCATATAGCCTACATACCTCATAAAAATCATAGTTAGGAAGATAAGAGAATTCACCCATTTAAATGTTTATTAGACAACTACTATTCTAGGCGCTAGGGATATAGTTGTGAACAAAAGACAAAAATCTGTCTTTCTGGGGCTTACATTCTATTGAAAAATCAATTAAGTAAAATTTATCATAAGGTGTTAGGTGCTAAGAAAAAAAAACAGGAGAGAGAGGTATGTTGTGGAAAGTCGCAACATAAGGGTAGTCAAGGAAGGTCTCACTGAGCCGGCGACATTTGAATTAAAACCTTAAAGTGGTCCTCTGGGGAAAGAATCTACCAATTAGGAAACAGAAGCCCAATAAGGGGACATGACTTGCCTAAACGTTATACTAACATTAATTTCAACTATTTCCCATTTGTGGAACATTTGGGTGGTTTTCAACAATTTCAATAATTTTTAGAGCAAGGCTCTAAAAATCTTTTATAAATTATGTTCCTTCTGTCCACTTTTAGATTATTTCCTTGGGTGCTCTTCCCAAAAATAAGGCTAGGTCAAAAGGTTATGATTTAACTTCCTACCAAGAAGCACCTGGGGTAACTTTATAAAACTTCCACAAGTAAACTTCCCTACACTCCTAGCATACTGTTCAACACAATCCGCCTTAATCTAGGGAAGCAACGTGGAACTGTGCAAATGTCCTGAATTTGTAATCAGGAAAATCTGAGTCTGAGACCTGGGCTCCCTATCTAATGGCAGCAGGCCTTTGGATAAGTCACTTATTCCGAGTCTCCAGTTTCTTTATTTCTGTAAAACAGGATTAACATCTACGTCTGAGGTGATCTTGAGGTGCAATCAGAAATACATTTTAAAAGTATTTTATGAGCTAATGAACATCACGGTCAGTGAGGCCTTAGTGTCGCCTACTGGGCAAGCGCTTGTAAGGCAGCACTGTCATGGCAGGTGCGATAAACTGAGCCGCTTTCCTCCAATTATGTCACCTCTCTTACACATTGTTTTTTTCCTACTTTCCACGTTTCAGTTGCTTTTCATTTACAAAAGACCCCTTCTTTTTACAACTTTCCCGTTACTGCAGTTTAAAACGAGCTTTATCTAAAGTATTTTAATAATTCACGCACATTCGAAGTTGAAGACTGTGCCACTAACGGGAAGTCGACCCTAAGGTGGGGTCAGCCTACACACAACCAGCCTGCCAGCGGGGCAGAAGCGCCGGGCCTGGAGCTGCCCGAGGAGGGTCCACGCCACCGTCACGCCGAAGCCGGGCCTCGAACGCACCGCCCGCGGCCTCCCCAAGCTGACGCCGGGCCGTCCGAGGCCTAGCGTGACCTTCCCTAGCGTCACGGCACCTGCAGTGTCCCGACGCCCACGCTTCGGCCCCAGACCCCGAGCTGGCCTCACCTGGCCGGAGGGGCCATGCGAGAAGTGCGGCTCCGACTCCCACGCGGCATCGTAACTATGCACCGAGCCTGCTCCTAGAAGCACTAAGCGCTGAAAAAAGAAACACGCAGCTCCGGCGGAGACCTAGAAGAAAAGGTGAGGGGAAGGGCCAGCCTCAGCGCGTGACCAATCAGTGCACTGACAGAGGCCGTCCGTTCTGGCCGTGAAGGTCACTGGGAAGAGAAGGACGTAAATGGGAGCGCCTTGTTGTACGTGGTTGACGCATGAGCTCGGCGTCAGGGTTGAGAAAACCGGAAGTTCCTGTGGTTGCTCAGCAAACCTTGTCCTCCGATTCTAGGGTGAGTCAGAACCGCCAGCGATTTGCTTCCTAGGGCGGTAGGAGGTCCGCCGCTGTTTCCCTCAAACGTTTGTGTTCTTAACGTGTGGGTTAATCCAACCTTGAGAGTGAGTCAGATCTCTGGTTTAACTGCCACTGGACCGTGCTCAAGTTATTTAACCTTTCTTAGTCTTAAGTTACTTGGAAAAGCTTTTTTTTTTTTTTTTTTTTTTTGTGCGGCACGATGTGGATGCGTAATAAATATGAAACGAATTATAAATTGGGAAAATTTTAGGCAGGGATTGACAGAGACAGCTGAGTTGGTTCTTTTTATATTTTTCTTTCGTGTCTGTGGATCCAGTCCACAAAAACCAAATTCAGACAGTAATACTGCCTTACATTTATGTATTGCTATACATTTTCAACCTTTCATATATGTAATTTGTGCCCTGAATGGGCATAGTATTCATTCATTGATAATTCAACAGAATATTTCTGAATGGCCTGCAAGTGCTAGTGAGGTTCTGGAGATACAGCATCAAACAAAACAAGAAAACAGAAAGGGGAAAACAAGTGCCTGTATAAATCAGGTGGTGGATGGTGACATGAAGGAAAAGCAAGGTAAAGGGGATAGGGAGTTAAAAGCTTGGGTAGGACATTTGAACAGAGTCCTTGAGGAAGAGGGGAAGTCTTGCGGTTATCAAGGGCAAGAGCATTCCCAGGCAGAGGGAACAGCAGTTGCAAAGGCCACCAAGGGCCTATGCTTTAGTGATATTTAGTGTGAAAATGCTTATATTTACATTTTAGAGTTGCTGCAGTGGAAGAAAAGTTGGTTAATGGCATTTCATAGGGGTCTTCATCGTAAAGTCTTAGGTAGGCTGGGTGAGATTTATGGAAGAGAGAAAGCAGAAGTGGAATGCCCATTTCTGCTTCAATGGCAATCAGAAATTCCCCGCTTCTCCCAGAGGTAGCAGCATTTAAAACAGCCCCCCCTACCCATGTCCCAGCATCAGTAGAATGTTCGTGGAACAGAGGAGCAAGTAATGCAAAAACCTTTAATGAGAAGCAAAAAAATTAATTTTTTATAAATTTTTAGAGAGATTAAAGCTTTAAAAATGGTAAAATTTTGTACTTGCCTGAGATAATTCATCAAGAGACTGAGAAAAGGGCTTTATAAAAGACATATCTGGTGCAGGAAGCACTTAGAGTGAGCAACACTTAGGACAATTCAAGAAAGAAAGGAATCCAGACCAGAACAGAGACTATTATTTTAATCATACTTGGCTAATCACTAATTCCTGAATTGACGAAGGAATGTGAGATGTACGTACAAGGTTATTTTGTGATAGTAAAAGACTGGAAACAATAAAATTCCCGTCCATATACTACTGATATAATAAATTATGGTACATTCACACAATGCAGATATAAAAAAGGGTGAAGATGCTTCCGTATCTATTGATATGATTTGTAAGATAAACTATCAGGAGAAAAAGCAAGGGGCTGAATTAAATATTCCCAAAAATCAAACCCACTGCCATAGAGTCAATTCCGACTCATAGTGACCCCGTATGTGCTTTAAGTGAAAGTTTACAATTCAAGCTAGTCTCATACAAAAATTTATACATACATGGTTATGTGACCCTAGTTGCTCTCCCTATACTGTGACAGCACACTCCTCCTTTCCACCCCAGATCTCCCGTGTCCATTCAACCAGCTCCTGACCCTCTCTGCCTTCTCATCTAACCTCCAGACAGGAGCTGCTCATTTAGTCCCATGTACCTACTTGAGCTAAGAAGCACACTCTTCACAAGTATCATTTTATGTCCCATAGTTCAGTCTAATCTTTGACTGAAGTGTTGGCCTTGGGAATGGTTTTAGTTTTGGGCTAACAGAGAGGCTGGGGGCCATGTCTTCCAGGGTCCCTCCAGTCTCAATCAAACCATTAAGTCTGGTCTTTTAACTAGAATTTGGGTTCTGCACCCCACTTTTCTCCTGCTCCGTCAGGGACTCTCTGTTGTGTTCCCTGTCAGGGTGGTCATTGGTGGTAGCCGGGCACCATCTAGTTCTTCTGGTCTCAGGCTGATGGAGTCTTTGGTTTATTTGGCCTTTCTGTCTCTTGGGCTAATCCTTTTCTTGTGTCTATGGTGTTCTTCATTCTACTTTACTCCAGGTGGCTGGAACCAATTGATGCATCTTAGATGGCCACTTGCTAGCTTTTAAGACCCCAGATACAAGGCTGTAAATCTTTATGGAAGCAGATTGCCACAACTTTCTCTCGCAAAGCAGCTGGTGGGTTTGAACTGCTGACCTTCTGGTTAGCAGCTGAGCTCTTCTTACCCACTGCGCCACCAGGGCTCCTTGACCAAGGAGTTAAGTGGTTGAATTACTGTATGAACTATCCGAAGTTCTCTAGGATTTCAAGGGAGTGGACATTCAATACAGATGAAGGCTGTAGGGAGAAGCTGAGTCTTAAATAAGTATAGATGGAATTTGTTTCAGAATGATTAGAATTGTAAAGGGGAAAAGGGTATTCTAGATAGGACAGCACAGATTCAGATGAAGAGGTAGAACTGAGTATGGTGAGACTTGGGGACAGAAGACCTGTGTCACAGAATCAGATGTGGGAAACAAATTTAAGAAAATCCAACTGAGGATTTCCAGGGCAATATAAGGAATCTAGGCTTTTTATCCTGTAAGAGTAAAAAACCAGTTGCCATTGAGTCGATTTGAGCTCATGGTGATCCCACGTGTATTAGAGTAGAACTGTGGTCCTTAGGGGGCACAGTGGCTGATTTTTCAGAAGTAGATCACCAGACCTTTCTCCCAAGGTGCCTTTGGGTGGATTCAAACCGCTAGCAGCTGACTGCGTTAACTGTTTGCACCACCTAGGGACTGCTGTACTAAACCACACAATTTTGAAGTCAAGAACACAAGTGCTGGGGTCAGACTGCCTGGTCCACTGTCCACTAGCTGTGTGACCTCTGGAAAGTTACTTGAACTCTCTGTGCCTCAGAATCCCCTCTCGAAAATGGGGATAGCAGCATTGACCTTAAAGGATTGTTCTGAGGGTCAAACAGTGAAGAAAATGTAGCAACTATTATAATTTAAAAATATTCCTATTCTGGTAAAAAAGTTTTAAACCTGTATAGTAGTCTATGACACCTGGGTTCCTAGCTTTCTTCTCCCCACTAGATTATGAGTTTCTTTAAGGCAGGGATGGTGCCTTATTCATCTTTGTGGTGTCTTCTTTACACACAAAACCTCAATAAATATTTTCAGACTTGAAACGAGTTGCCATATAACTGACAAAAACATCAGAGTTAAGATGCCATTCTTGCTGCTATCCTTTAATTAAAAATCCTAAAAAGGCATACACACTACTTAATTAACAATCAATTAGTAAGGAAAAGATACTGGAGTAGTAAACTTAAGCCATGTTGAAAAGATGTTCTGTTGACCAACATGACTTCTCTCCCCCTTAGGACCACAGTTACAGCTGGAGTCAGAGAAAATACTTTTATCAGGTCCTTCGGGTATCCTGTAGAAAATCAGACAAAAACAAAAATCAGTTATTCTTTTTAGTCTGAGGATGAACACTGGAATTATCTTACTTCCATTTTTAAAACATTTTCTAGCCCTTCTTTTACCAATGTTGTTACGGTTGTTAGTTGCCCTTGAGTGGATTCCTACTCGTGGCGACCCCATTGTTACAGAATAGAACTGCTTCATTGGGTTTTTTTGGCTGTAATGTTAACGGAAGGAGCCCTGGTAGTGCAGTGCTCAAAGTGCCAAAAGGTCGGTGGTTGGAACCCCCCAGCAGCTCCATGGGAGAAAAGACCTGGTGCTTTGTTCCTGTAAAGATTTACGGCCTAGAAAACCCTATGGGGCAGTTCTATTTTGTCCTATAGGGTCACTGAGAGTCGCAATCTGCTCGACGGCAAACAATTGAAACGAAGCTGTAACTGCCAGGCCTTTCTTCCGCAACACAGCTGAATGGGCTTAAACCACCGACCTTTAAGTTAGCAGTCCAGCATAAACTGTTTGCACCAGCCAGGTGGACCTACACACAAAGTTCCAAAACGTGGAGTTTTACACTCTCCAACTGCAGTCGATAGATAACGTTGGGAGTGGAGGGGTCACAACTAAGCTAGCCTCAGAAGGGGACTGTGCTTCTCGGGACCCGGCGGGCACGCACCGGCACTCAGGCGAGGCGAGTGCGCGGTCGGGGCTGCAGCTGGCGTTGGCGCCGCTTGCGCTGGCCATTGAGGAGCTTCTGCGCGATCTTGCGCTCATGTCCGCCGGGCACCGGCCGGTTGGTGCGCAGCTCCCGCTCGCGCCGCGTACGGCCCTTGCTGCGCCCGGCCCCGCAGGCCGGGAAGTCGCGCAGGTAGTAGTAGTCGAGGCAGTCGTAGAGCTCCTCTTCAGAGCCCGCTGGCAACCGTGCCTCCGGGGGCGACGGCAGGGCCCGAGCCTGGATGCGGGGAAGAGTCCGGCCCGCGCCCGAGTCCATAGCCCCCGGCCGCCCGCTCGCGCACTTGTTTCTAGGAGGACTGAGTGGCCCTGGCCCCGTGCTTCGATTGGTTCCGCCTAGGGGGCGGGGCTTCAGGATACCGTCACAGAGCCCCGAGCGCCCTCCTCAGACCGCAGAACCACGTCCACCTGGTAAGTGGGGCTTGTCAGCTGCCGCCTGGAGAGGGAACCACTGGCCAAATTCCACTGAGCACTTTGCTTATATCGGTCAAAAGTTGGAAACCAAGTGTCCATCAGTGAGGGGCTGCTAAAGGAAACATGGGGTATACACTTCTTCTGGAAGAATAGTATCAGTCGTCAACATTTTGTTAGGACGTTTGATGATATGAGGAAGTGTTCAGTAATGACAAAGTGAAAAATGTAGCTTCCGAAGAAACATCTGTAGTCTCCCAGTAATAACGCATGTTTAAAATACATCTGTCTGCATAAAAGACTGAAAGGAGAGTCAGCAAAATGCTAAAAGTGCAGTATTTGTGGTTGGTAGCGTTAAAGGAGCCTGATAGCGCAGTGGTTAAAGTGCTCAGCTGCTAACGAAAAGGTCAGGAGTTCGAACCCACCAGCCGCTTAGTGGGAGAAAGATGTGGCAGTCTGCCTCTGTAAAGAGTTACAGCCTTGGAAACCCTATGGGAAAGTTCTGCTCTGTCCTATAGGGTGTCTATGAGTCAGAATCAACTCCATGGCAGTAAGTTAGGGTTACATATAGGAGGCAGTGATGGTTCAGTGGTAGAATTCTCACCTTCCAGGCAGGAGACTCGGTTCGATTTCTTGCCAATGCACCTCGTACGCAGCTACCACCCGTCTGTAAGTGGAGGTGGAGGCTTATGTGTTGCTATGATGCTGAACAGGTTTTGGCTGAGATTCCAGACTAAGATAGGCTAGGAAGGAAAGCCAGGCAAACTCCTGAAAATCAGCCAATGAAAAGCAGGACCAGGCAGGATTGGGCAGCGTTTCCTTCCCATTTTGCAAGGGGTCACCATGAGTTGTGGGTAACTCCACAGAGCTAACAACAACAGGGTTAGATATGATTTTGTATTTGCTCTTTTCACTTCACATGAGTACGTTTTCTGTAACTGAATATGACTTACTGGTATTAAGAGAAGCAATTAAGAACAAAAAGGGCATCAATGTCATTGAATTGTACATGTGGAAACCTGAATTGGTATATGTTTTGCTGTGTATATTCTCAATAACAACAAAATAAAGTTTTTTTTTAAAAGACATTTATGCAAAGCCAACAGCCAACATCATCCTAAATGGAGAAAGTCCGAAAGCATTCCCCATGAGAATGGGAACCAGACAAGGATGCCCTTTATCACCACTCTTATTCAACATTGTGCTGGAGGTCCTAGCCAGAGCAATAAGGCCAGAAAAAGAAATAACAGGCATCCAAATTGGTAAGGAAGAAAAAAAAGGATCCCTGTTTGCAGGTGATATCTTATACACAGAAAATCCTAAAGACTCCACAAGAAAACTACTGGAACTAATAGAAGATTTCAGCGAAGTAGCAGGATACAAGATAAACGTACAAAAATCAGTTGGATTTCTCTACACTAACAAAGAGAACTTAGAAGTGGAAATCACCAAAGGAATACCATTTACAATAGCCACCAAGAAGATAAAACACTTAGGAATAAATCTAACCAGAAACATAAAATACCTATACAAAGAAAACTAAAAGATACTCTGCAAGAAACCAAAAGAGACCTACATATGTGGAGAAACATATAATGCTCGTGGATAGGAAGACTCAACATTGTGAAAATGTCAATTCTACCCAAATCAATCTACAGATACAATGCAATCCCGATCCAAATTCCAATGACATTTTTGACGAGATGAGGAAACAAATCACCAACTTCATATGGAAAGGGAGGAGGTCCTGGATAAGTAAAGCATTACTCAAGAAGAAGAACAAAGTGGGAGGTCTCACACTACCTGATTTTAGAACCTACTATACCGCCACAGTAGTCAAAACAGCCTGGTACTGGTACAACAACAGATACATACACCAATGGAACATAATTGAGAGTCCAGACGTAAATTCATCCACCTATGAGCAGCTGATATTTGACAAAGGCCCCAAAGTCCATAAAATGGGGAAAAGACAGTCTCTTTAACAAAAAGTGCTGGCATAACTGGATATCCATCTGCAAAAAATGAAACAAGACCCATACCTCACACCATGTACAAAAACTAATTCAAAATGAATCAAAAACCTAAATATAAAATCTAAAATGATAAAGATCATGGAAGAAAAAACAGACAATGCTAAGAGCCCTAATACATGGCATAAATTCAATACCATAACTAACAATGCACAAACACCAGAAGAGAAACTAGATAACTGGGAGCTCCTAAAAATCAAACACTTATGCTCATCAAAAGACTCCACCAAAAGAGTAAAAAGACAACTTACAGACAGGGAAAAAAATTTTGGCTATGACATATCCGACAAGGGTCTAATCTTTAAAATCTACAAGATACTTCAACATCTCAACAACAAAAAGACAAATAACCCAATCAATAAATGGGTAAAGGATATGAACAGATACTTCACCAAAGAAAATATTTAGGTGGCTAACAGATACATGAGGAAATGCTCACGAATATTAGCCATTAAAGAAATGTAAATCAAAACTACAATGAGATACCATCTCACCCCAACAAGGCTAGCACTAATCCAAAAAAAACAAAATAATACATGTTGGAGAGGTTGTGGAGAAACTAGAACACTTAAGCACTGCTGGTGGGAATGTAAAATGGTACAACCACTTTGGAAAACGATTTGGCACTTCCTTAAAAAGTGAGAAACAGAAGTACCATACGATCCAGCAATCCGACTCCTTGGAATATATCCTAGAGAAATAAGAGCCATCACGTGAATAGATATATGCACACTCATGTTCACTGGAGCACTGTTCACAATAGCAAAAAGATGGAAATAACCTAGGTGCCTATCAACAGACAAATGGATAAACAAATTATGGTATATCCACACAATGGAATAGTACGCAACAATAAAGAACAATGAAGAGTCCTCGAAACATCTCAACATGGATGAATCTGGAGGGCACTATGCTGAAGTGAAATTAGTCACAAAAGGACAAATATTGTATGAGGTCACTATTATAAGAACTCAAGAAAAGTTTTAAACACAGAAAAAGACGTTCTTTGATGGTTATGAGGGTGGGGAGGGAGGGAGAGGGGAATTCACTAACTAGATGATAGACAAGAATCATCTTGGGTGAAGGGAAGGACAGCACACAATACAGCAGAAGTCAGCACAACTGGACTAAACCAAAGCTAAGAAGTTTCCTGAACACAACCAAACCCTTCAAGGGACAGAGTAGCTGGGGCTGGGGTCTGGGGACCATGGTTTTGGGGGACATCTAGGTCAACTGGCATAACGAAGTTTATTAAGAAAATGTTCTGCATCCCACTTTGGTGAGTGGTGTCTGTGGTCTTAAAAGCTTGCAAGTGGCCATCTAAGATATATCAATTGGTCCCAACCCACTTGGAGCAAAGGAGAAGACACAAAGGAAAGTCACAAAGACACAAGGAAAATACTAGCCCAAGAGACAAAAGGTCCACATAAACCAAAGACTCCATCAGCCTGAGACCAGAAGAACTAGATGGTGCCTGGCTACCACCAATGACTGCCCTGACAGGGAACACAACAGAGAGTCCCTGCTGGAGCGGGGAGAAAAGTGTGGAACAGAACTCAAATTCACATAAAAAGACCAGACTTAATGGTCTGACTGAGACTGAAGGAACCTCTGAAGCCATGGCCCCTGGAAGCTATGTTAACCCAGAACTAAAACCATTCCCGAAGACCATTCTTCAGACGAAGATTAGGCTGGACCATAAAACATAAAATAATACTCATGAAGAGTGTGCTGCTTAGTTCAAGCAGATACATGAGACCAAATGAGTGGCTCCTGTCCAGAGGCAGGATGAGAAGGCAAGAAGCGACAAGAGCTGGTTAGAAGGGCACAGGAAACTGGGGGTAGAAAGGGGGAGTGTGCTGTCACATTGTAGGGACTGCAACTAGTGTCACATGACAATATGTGTATAAAATTTTGTATGAGAGATTAACTTGAGCTGTAAACTTTCAACTGAAGTACATTTAAAAAAAGAAAAAAAGAAAGACTGATAGGGCACCCTGTCTGCTGCAAGGAACCAGGCCTTGGCTGGCCCAGCCATTGGACTCCTGGGAGTGGTGGACTCTGCAATTTCAGATTATCCTCGGCTACTCAAGTTCTCAGACCATGAGATGCTGAGCATGGTGACTTGATGAGCGGGTTATTTGGGGTGATGGCCAAGAGTCCTGGGTCCCCGACCCCTCCGTGTCTCGAAGGAGAGCAGCAGAGGAAACAGAATCAGGCCAGGTGAACAGCGTGCAGAAAGTTCCAGGTCCCTCTCCTCGCCAGGTGCTGCCCCCGCAGGGCGGGAACCGTTCTACCCCACAGCCCTGCCGGCCCTGAGCCGGCTGGCTCCTGGGTCTAATTACCCGATTTCTGTCTCTAAACGCCACCCTCAGGGAGTTAGTGCCCACAAGGCCTTTGTTTGCGTTTGGCTTAACCAGCACAGATCCTTCTCTCTTTGCACAAAAATTGCAGCTACCTCTTTGGGGATTTTCTTTTTAATAGATGGAAAATAATTCACTACTTGGTGCGGGGCATGGGGAACCTCAGAGATTTAATCTTGCTGAGTTTCTAGAAGTGACAAAGTTGTGGTTTGAATTTTTAATTCCTCACTTAGGAGTGTATCCCTGGTGGGGGCGTGGCCTACATACCAAGCTCTGAGGGCAATTTAGGTGGTTCCTTAAAAGAACAAGTCCCAGGAGAGTGTTTTTAATAAGACACCAAGGGGATTTTCATTTCTGCTCACGTGGCTTAAATCTACTAGGAAGGAGAGGAACTAATATCACTTTCATATACATTATCCCTTTCAATTTTGTTATTATGGAAATATTCAGAAATTCTCAAAAGTAAACCAGCTAGAACAATAAACTCTCATGTCCCATCGTGCAGATTCAACAATTATCAAGATCTTGTCACATTGGCTTTATTTATCTCTTTCTATTTTCTTCTGC